TCAATCAGGTTCGTCTTTTCCTTTGATCTCTTCTTAGATTCAACTTGTTCCATCCTTTTCACGTCGCCTGGAACTATGGCCTCGACCAGCACTTCCACGAACTCTCCTTCTACACTTTGACTCTCCACCAAGGCACTCAACTACACAAGGGAAGCTTAGGGCGAGAACCCTAGCAGCGCCGCCTCAAATCTTGAAATGTTAAAAATGACTTCTTGGAGTCCACAAGAAACCGTAGAATTTAACATTTTTTATAGGCTTTATTTTAGTTACACACACACACACATATATATATATATATATAGTAATAACCACTATATATACAATAAAAATAATTAATTAATAAAATAAGTTACATTTTCTCTGTCATAAAATAAGCAATTCATTACACACATAAATAGGCAACAAAGCTCGATAAATAAATAAAACACACATTAAATTCATATCAATGTTTAATCCAATAAAACCTTTTTATAATTTGAATCTTATATTTAGAAATTAAAACTTACATGTTAAAGAATTTTTTATTATTATTTTCTTTCATCTATAAATTTTAACTAACAATAATACTTTGTTTAATATTAATGTTTATCTATTCAACCATTTCTATTATCATAATAACTAGACTTAATTATATTTTTTACATTTTAAAAATAATCTTTAAAAATTATTAGAACATAATTTTTAACATTTTTTAAATATTTAAAATTAATTTCTACCATCAATTAGCATATTTTAAAAATAGTTTTTAAATAATTATTAGAATATAATTTCTAACATTGTTTAAATATTTAAAATGAATCTATATTGTCAAATGTCGGATATTAAATGATTAGTTAAATAACAAAAGTTCAATTTATTACTATTATATTATTATTTTAAAAATATTTTATTAATTTTAAATAAAATATTTACAAAAAAGTATTTATAAAATTTTATATGATTTTAAAAATTAATAACTAATTCATGTTCTTTTATTTTCTTCCCTTAACAATTTTAATATTCAATGGTTTATTAGGTTAGAGTTTGTTTCAAAGATAGAGACATGCGTATCTGTTTGTTTCATTGGAGAAACAAAGACACGAAAGGATACGAGAGACACAAATTTGAAGGATACCAATGTACCTCGTGGAATAACGGACATTGGTGTCCCAGCTCTAGGGACACGAAGACTATACTTTTGAATACCAAAATACCTCCGATAATCACACAAAATTACATACATTATCCTTAACTCCTATCTTTTATATCTTGTCTCTTACATTTAAACATAATACAAAATGCAATACACAATATTTTATCCCCGCTTCCAAACACAATACACAGACATAAATATTAATATCTCTTTCTTTCATTATCTTCGTGTCTTTGTCCCAATGTCTCTATCTCTGAACCAAATGTTACCTATAGTTTTAAAGTGTAAACCTTTACCATCAATGACATCATCCTCCTCAATCATTGAAAATTATTTCTTGTTAATCAACAACCTAAGATCAATGTCACAAGAATTTTTTTCTTAAATTATATTTTTCAATATTTAACTATGTGTCTCTCAATCGCTTCGCTCTTCTCTTCTTGGCGCCTTTATTGATATCATTACCATTGAGATTTTTCTTTGACTTGTGCTTCTATTTTCACTTCTTGAATTTCTTACTGAATATGGTGATTACATTTCAAAAGGTTTTAAAATCTTTCTTAACACTTTTCTTTCTACATTGTAATTTAAAATCTACGAATTTCTTCATCATCTTTGTTTATTCATTGTCACAAACCATAATTTTCTTCATGAATTAATCAATTTAGAGTTTTACTTTCAATTCCAACCTGTCCTCTAGTCATCAAGTAAGATTTGGAGCAGCTGAGGAGAGTCATTGGAGTAGATATTAGAGAGACATTTGTAAAAGGTAAAGAACATAGAACAAATTATATATTTAGAACAAGTTGATGAAACACTTGTTAAAAATATTCAGAATAAGTTAAATTTAATGGACGAAAGTAAAACTAGTGGTAAGGATTGAAACTCTGAAGTTAATTAGATATTGAAGAGGGGAGGTGGAAGAATATCTAGAATGAATATTAATTTTTAAAAATAATATTTTTTAAAATAATTTTTACAAAAATTAATTTTTAAATAATAAAATATTAAAAATAAGAATGACTTAGGGTGATAAGTTAAACTAGTTCAAACTATTTTAAAAATATTAAAGATTAAATCATAATTTTTAAAAAAAACCAATTTCAAAGAATGTTAATTTTATCAAATAAAAATATAATTTAATTATTGCCTTTTATATACATTCATTTAAAAATTAACATACATATCAATAAATATAATTAATATATTTATTTATATTAAAATTACTAATTTTCTAACATAATATGTATAATTATATATTTTTTAAATAAGAATATAATTAAATATATTAATTACTTTTCTAACTTTTACTTAATAAATAAATAATTATATATACAAGACATGATCTTCTTATATCAGTATAAATCTAAAAATTCTTACACTCAATCTAAACTTTTTATTTAATTTAAATTTTATGAGTTATAACTTATTATTTTACTGACCATTAAATTTAAATTAAATAAAAAATTTAGATTAAATGTAAGAATTTTTAAACTTACACCAAAGTAAAATTTCATTCTCATATATATATATATATATATATATATATAAATAAAGTGGAAAAAAAAAAAAAAGGTCGGGGAAACAAAATGTGAAATGCATTCTTTCACCTCCACGTTGCAACCAAGGCTAGATTCTCAAGACATGAGTGAATCATTGTAAAACTGAAAACTCGTGATGTGGATAACTCAATTTTCAAGCCTCATTTAATGCCACAATTAACGGCCATGTGTCACTGATCTCCCTGCTAAAGAGGACACGATACCATTCATCAAATCCCAGAAACACAAACTACCAAAACTACCTTAACTTCCCCTCGTTCCCTCGCAATCCACAGTTTTGGCCGGCTACATCGCAGATTCGAGGGAATAAGAAAGCGTTCCACCAATAAATTTATTTATATTTTATGAAAAATTAAATCTTTGTTAAGATCAACCTTTAAAATTTAGTTTCATAAAAATATATAACGTATATTAAAATACATTCATAAAAAAATTTAAATTTAAAAGGATAATTTTACATGTAGTATTTTATAGTGTTTTATTCAAAAGTTTACAAAGCGCGCACACACACACCTATGTATATAGTTTTTAAAACTGTTTCCCCTAAAACTTACGGAATTACGATTCAATTTTTAATAAAAACGGATCCTTAAAATTATAAGGTGATATTCTTAGTTACATTAGACAAACCTTTAAAAATATAATTAAAAATGAACTTTAAATTTTTAGATATATTGTTTGCGAAAATAATTTAATTTAAAAAAGATAAATATCGGGACATATCTACTGTTAGAAATATTTAACATTTGATACAATTAATATGTGAAAACATTTCTTCCTGAAAATGTGACATTTGTTTAAGTATATGTATAATAAAGAAATAAATATTTGATAAAGAACTGATTAAGGGAAATGACAAAACTGATAAATTTTTAAGTAATTTATAGTTATAATTATTAGGAAAAAAATGAGAGTAAAGTTTGAAATATTAAATGTATTATTAAATTGAAGTGTAAAATGAAAAAAAAAATGTGTTCGATTAAAAAAAATTAAATTAAGAAATAAAAGATGTAACTTGATCGTTTTATTTTTAATAATTAAGTGAAAAGATATTCATAAAAAAATCAATCATCACACGACTCTTATAAGGGGAGGGGTGTTGTTTACAAATGTCTTATATTTTTAATATTTATCGTAAAAAAATAGAGGGCATTTAGAATGTTACTTGTTTATAGTTATTAAAAGAATAAAAAGATACAAACGGCATTTTTTTATGATTAATAAATTAAAAGCATAAAAATACAATATTTTTGATATAAATATACTGTTTATAAATATTTAAGCTCAACTTTAATCATTAATAAAATTAATTTTTTTTACGCTATGGACGGTGATATATGAGTTGCATTGAGTTTGATTAAAAAATAAATAAAAATCTATACGCGTTGCATTTAATTAATTTGGATCTTTCCATTAAAATTATAATAATTTAATTCAAGTCATTTCTTTTAATAAAACTCAACTTGAATTGGGTAATGAGTTATTTTATAAGAAAACTTTAAATTTTTTTAATATTATGTTATATATTTTTTACTATTATGGTTTATATTAGTTTTATTAAAGAATTTAATTTTCACGCATTATTAGTATAATTTTTTATATTATTAATAAATTAAAATACATTATAAATATAACTTTGTATGTTAATCATTATAAAAATAACTTTTATTTTTGGTTAATATATCAATGAATGATTACGTATTAATATAAAAAAATATTATATTTGTATATTTACATTAAATTATTTATAAAACTACAAATAACTAGCTTACAGAGAAAACAACGTAAAATATATACATTATTTTGCTGAAAATAAGGAAGAAAATCATTTGGGAGTTTGTCTAACATCCTTCAACTATGTTATCTTCGTTTGTCATTTATTTATAGCAAAACAAAACTCGCCAGCTAATGAAAAATACTTTTCTTTTCAATGAATATTAGTTTTGACATTCCCTTTGCGAATAAAATATTTTATTTCCACAAAAAATATTTTTCAGATAATAATTTTAAAAAATATGTATTTATTATATTAAAAACATAAAATATTTAACATTTTTTAAACTAAAAGAATAATAAGATTTAAAACAAAAAGTTAAATTATTATTTAGATACTACTTGTAATTGTGTGGGACATAGGGAGGGGGGAGGGAGGGGAAATGAGCAGAAATACCGAATCAGCGTAGACCCAAAAAAAGAAAAGAAATAAAAAAAGAAAAAGAAGAGAAACGGTCTGGTCTGAGACAACCGCTGACCTTAAATATCGCACATATATAACTTCCAAAACTGACGCTTCATCTTTTACACCTTTCCTTTCCCTTTTCCTTTCACTACTTGTTTCTTCTTTTCCCTTTCATCAATCTCTCAATCAACCCAAAAACAAAAAATGCCTGCAACAACAGAGAATAACCAGGGCTCGTTCCTGGGCCGAATAAGCATTCGAAGAAACCAAGTCATGTCAATGGACGGAAGCCACGACCAAGAGCTAGAAGACCTCGAGCTTTTCCAAAAGCACGTCAGCGACAGATTCACCGATCTCTTATCATCCACCACCGACGACCCCTCCGCCGACGCCCTCCTCTCAATTTCCTGGCTCCGTAAACTCCTCGACGAGTTCCTCTGCTGCGAAGCCGAATTCAAAGCCGTTGTCATGATGGGTCGCGACCCCAGCCAGATCGTCAAACCCCCACTCGACAAACTCCTCCCTGAATTCCTCGACCGCGTCGTCAAATCCCTCGACGTTTGCAATGCCGTCACACTAGGCCTCGACGCCGTCAAGAACCTCCAACGCCTCGCCGAGATCGCCGTCGCCGCCCTCGAACAAATCCCCATCGGCGACGGCCAGGTTCGCCGCGCCAAGAAGGCGCTTAACTCCCTCATCACGGCCATGACGCAAGAGGACGGCACCAAGGGAACCGAGAGAAGCAGGTCATTCGGCAGAAGAAACAACAACAATAACAACAACAACAACAGCAGTACCAACCGTGGCGGTTTCCGGTCACTGTCTTGGACCATGGCGCGGAACTGGTCCTCGGCGAAACAAATCCACGCCATGTCGTCCAATCTGGCTGCGCCACGTGGCGCAGAGGCCTCTGGACTGGCGTTGCCCGTTTACATAATGAGCACTGTTTTGGTGTTTGTTATGTGGACTCTTGTTGCGGCTGTTCCGTGTCAAGAGAGGAATGGGCTTGCCACTCATCTTGCGTTTCCCAGGCAATTGGGCTGGGCCCAGCCCATGATTGGGTTGCAGGAGAAGATTGCGGAGGAGTGGAAGAAGAAGGAGAAGAAAGGGTCGGTTGGGTTGTTGGAAGAGATGCAGAGGATGGAGAAGCTGGGGCAGTCTCTTGTTGATTTCGCTGAGTCGTTTCAGTACCCGGCTGAAACGGAGCGTTTGGATGAGGTGAAAGCACAGGTTGAGGAGTTGGGAGAGATTTGCAAAAAGATGGAGGAAGGGTTGGAACCTTTGCAGCAGCAAATTAGGGAAGTGTTTCACAGGGTTGTAAGGAGCAGGACTGAGTTTCTTGTTGTTTTGGACCAAGCTGGGAAATTGTCCACTCCTCCTTTGTAAAGTTTTTAAACATTCAACTTCTTCCCTTTCATCTTTTTTTCTTTACCCCTTTCGGAAGGGCTATAACCGTATAGATCTTGAAGTTGAAGTCTAATTTTATATTCTTTTCGAAGTACGGAAAGCCTACTGGTCTCAGAAAGGTTAATTTGTTAAAGGGTTCCCTTCATTGACTATTCATGATATAGGGCTCTACCTTAGCCTTAGCCTACAATGTACATCAGTATAGGTTTTGTTTCCTTTTTGTGTGAAGGAGATGGCTGCACTCCCTAATCTGTGGTGATTGCCAGTTGAACTTGTTTAATTCCATGAATGAACTCTTGTTTATGCCTTCTCTTTTTTCTTACAGTCTCGATCTATTGAATGCGTTGTTGGAGTTATATATATTAACTGCGTTACATTTACAATATGGGGGAGCTGCACGTCTAGCAGCCGCGTCAACTAGCAATTTTTAATCTTCTTATATTCAAGCATGATATCAAATAGGTCACCCAATGTGAATTCACATTTTAACTGAAAAATTTATACTTTCTAGAATTATGCATAAATTATAAATATAAATTATGTAATCAAGCTTAACGTTAAATTTATAAACATTTCATGCACAACTTTCTCAAAAATCCAACGTTACCTTTTGTCCAACGGAGTGATCTATATTTAACCATGAATATTTTATCTGCCCTTGTCCCTTTACAGGGCATTGATGTTGGGTTTGATTCCATATTTTTGTATATTAAACGACATTAACTTACGATATTTACCTGAATTTATACCTATATATTGTTCAATGTTATTGTCCCCCTGATATAGTTACTTTTTTAACGGCCAACTCCGCCACTGTTATTATATAAGTTACTGGATAATAATATTTTCGCTTATTTTTAATCTTTCTAAATTGTTCAAGTTATATACATTTCTAGTACGATTAATCGTTATTTATTTGTTTTAACTTCCCAAGTGCTCAAGCATTTATTTGTTGCTTTTTATATTTAAAACCTTGTAAGTATTTGAAACACTTGAAAAAATAGCATTAGTATTGGTCCCATAAACGTATTATAACTAGTCGTCAATTTTAATTTGTACGTCCTTTTCTTTAATTATTAGGTTTTGATACAGTGGACTTATTTATTTATTGCTTGCTTCATACAGATTTAACCCTTTAAATATTCGACCAAACAGAGTTTCTGCGAGAACTAAATTGAATTGAATGGTAGAGTGAGAGAGAGTGATTTTATATAAAAAAGGGTAAGGTTTAGAGCAAATACTGGGCTCTTACCTACAACTTAGGGGCACCTAATAACTCAGGTTGAATGTTTTATTTGTGTCAGCTAGGCGGCTAGCTAGACGTGCAAGGCATTATATTTCATGATTATGGATCTTATGAAAAATTCTTTGCCCATATCTATGATCTAACCCGTTAAAAAAAAGTAACATCAAATTCTCATTTTTTATTTGAAGCATTGGACAAATATTTTTCTAAGCGTACGTGAAAATATCTCAAATTCGGTTTAGAAGCTCATAGGTGCTGCAACACTCAGTTTGCACTTCCCACAAGTTTTCTTGACTCCAAGTCTTCAATAATTTGCCTCTCTTATTCATATCATCTCTCTATCACACGTGCTCTTTCTTTTTGAATTATAGTTATCTAAAGTGACCACCTTTGAAAGCAACGTCTTTACTCATTCTAAATTTTACTCTCAAAATGATATAATCCCGATGTTTTTAAATTTAAATGATTATTAAATCAATAAAAAACATTGATTCATAGTTTACTAATCTAACTGCAATTAAATTATAATTAAACTTAAATAATATTCATTCCTCTTAAAGTTTAACAAAATTTTATCATATATTATTTCTTTCTTTCTTTTTACATTACTTTGATCTTATCTATTTTAAATAAAAATTATTCACCATATAGTAGTGTGATTTTATTACCTGTACGTGTTTTCCTATACACAATTATTGAATCGAGACATTGCTTAAGAATAATAAGTAATTTTTCTTCAGTTGACAGTCGAAAATTATTCCTTTATTAAGGAAAAAAGTCACCGAAGTTAATAGTAACGAATTTGAAAATCATCTAATGTTAAAACAAATTAAATAATTAAACGAGTAAGAATGGAAAGTAGGTATAAAGTTATTAAGTGAATTTCACATATGAATTTTTTTAACTTAACATTAGACCTTCGTTAGATTAATTTTTAAAATAAAAAAAAAAGATAACAAAAAAAAGGTTCATCACCGGTGTGTGATTTTGGTAAACTTTCATCACTTTTTTCCTTGAGAGTTTTTCCCGCCCCTGATTGTTGTCGTAGATCCATTTGTTTGGATATAAGGTACAGCCACTGTGACTGGGCCTGAGCCTGTGATATTATTTACGGGCTGGGCAATAGATAATGAAATACTATTCTACACGACGACGTCGTTCTACTCTATTGGGCAAAGGAAGGACACGTTGCGAGCCAGAAACATGGCGAAACGACCTCGAATGGAGAAAATGCTACACTAGATTATCTCCAATCGTATTTCTAAAACTCATGTAGTTGTAGAGTCTGATGTTGAGACGTCATGCCCCTTCGACCACTTCTAGAGCCACCCTAACAATTAGTCATATTATTAAAATAAACTTTTACCTATAAATGCATCCATGCCTTCTTCTTCAGGTTCGTTCCACATCTAGTCTTCAAGTAATTTGATTGCAGTGTCATTTTCCGTAACTGATTTCTGTTTTATAACTGCAAACAACAGTTCGCAGACTCACAATGGCAGCAATATCCAACTCCTTGCCACTGAAGCAGGGTCTCTCTGTCGGGCGTCCCCAATCAACCTTTCTCACTCGCACTCGTGCTCGTCCTCCTTCAACTTCTCTCGCATTCAGAAACTTCCAAAGATGTTACGCCGCTTTCGCAAATGAGAATCGCGAGTACCGTTTCAACTCCTCCAACGCTATCTTTCTGTCCGTTTCATTTCCAGTTACGCGACTTTGAATTTTCGTTTTCGTTTTCGTTTTCTGTTTTCGCAGGTTCGTTATTGTTGGCGGTGGAAATTCCGCGGGTTATGCTGCGCGCACTTTCGTCGAGCACGGCATGGCTGATGGTCGCCTTTGTATTGTGACCAAAGAGGTACTCTATTTTTCTAGGTTCACTGTGCCGATTTCGATTTCAATTTCTTTTGCTTGAACTGAAACGTGATATGTTTTTCTTGTTATTTATGATTTTCAACTGAATTCAATGAAACAGCCATATGCACCCTACGAGCGTCCCGCTCTGACGAAGGCCTACTTGTTCCCGCCGGATAAGAAACCAGCGCGTCTTCCCGTAAGACGATCCTCGTTTACTCAATTATTCTGCAATCGATTATATTGCTATGCTATCGTTTATTCGTTACCGTTCCGTGTAATTCCTTGGCTTCACATAGTTGTATCTTGTCAGTAATTTTAATTCTTATATGCCTACTTTAGGGTTTTCACACTTGTGTTGGATCTGGTGGTGAAAGGCAGACTCCGGAGTGGTACGAAGAGAATGGGATTGAGGTTCGTTCTTTTATGCTGTTGGAATCGTTTTGTTCGTTTATAAAAGAAGAGTGGAATATTTGTCAAGGTTGCTTTCACTGTTTAGCGTGCATGTCATATGTTTGAAATAGAATGGTGAAAACTTCATTTAATGTAAATGTGTGTTTTCGTACTTTCAGTTCTTGTCTGTTAATGTTAATTGAGATGCTAAATTTCATGTGGTTGGTTTTCCTGTTCAGATGTTGTATAAAGATCCAGTAAAAGATATTGATATTGAAAAGTATACTTTGACAACAGAGTCTGGAAAACTTGTGAAGTATGGTTCACTTATTATTGCTACAGGATGTACGGCATCAAGGTATTGGTTTATTTACTTTAGTTAAGGTACTTCTGTTTTCGTAAAATGTGGTGCAGAAAATCTGAGTTATTGATTATCTTGCTATTAGGTTTCCTGAGAAAATTGGGGGAAACCTACTTGGTGTTCACTATATCCGGGATGTTGCAGATGCTAATGCACTGATTTTGTCATTGGTAATCTCTTATGCCCAGTAACATGACTTATTGTTCCAATAATTTGATTGGCTTTTACATTTAAGGTGGAGAATCTCATGCAGTCCTTGCAATCACTTGATATATGGTCATTCAAATTATGCCTTCTACAGTATATGATCTACATTGTTTCCCTTTGAATATATTATTGTTTCATGATCTTTCTCAAGCATTCTTTCATGCAACTTAAGAAGGTTTGCAAATTGTATATGTTTGTTACTTAGGTGACTTCCAAGTATATTGATTTATATGTTTATGGCAAAATAATTTAATCAGACATACATTTTGTTCTTCATTGTGAATTTTTTTTCTTTTTTTATTCCAGGAAAAAGCAAAAAAGGTTGTAGTTGTTGGAGGTGGTTACATAGGAATGGAGGTTGCTGCTGCAACTGTTGGTTGGAAACTTGATACAACAGTATGTTTTTCCCACACCCTTTTTATATATCTAGTTTTTTGTTCCAAAACTTCTTGGTCTGACTTCCATTACCTGTTAATCTGTTCATAATCAATCATCTGTGTCAACAGGAATTCATCATTTTTGTCCTCTGTATAAAGATTTGAAAAGTCTTGCATTAAGAAAATTTTGTTGTATAGCTGAATGGTGAAATAATGTGTGACATTTCAGTCATCCTACTTATATATTTTGTTGAATTGCCTACACTACATCAGGGCATGGTATGACAAAACGACTTGTCTATACTATTTACGCCTGTTCACACTGCTCTCTTCTCTAGGAGCCTGATTATTATTATGCTTTTAGCCTCATTTCCTCTAATTTATGGTTCAAATTTTGATAGGCAAGTGTGACGTAGTAGCTTAGACTTACGTGTGGATACTTTGAGAATCCATACATATGTTGTCATTTTGACATACTCACAAATGTGTTACTGTAACAAATAGATCATATTTCCTGAAGACCACCTTTTACAAAGACTGTTCACTCCTACTCTTGCCCAGAGGTATGAAGAACTATATCAAAAGAATGGAGTCAAAATTTTGAAGGTATTTCCTCGTTCGCTGTTCTTGTCTCTTTCTTTTCATCGTAGTAACTAGTAAGTTTGTTTGATATTGTGTTCGTGTGAAACCATTCTATTCTCCAACCTTTTCCTCTATTTCTTTTGAATCTAAAATTCACCAGGGTGCCTCAATACAAAATTTGGAAGCTGGTTCTAATGGACATGTAGCTGCTGTGAAACTTAGGGATGGATCTATTGTGGAAGCAGATACGGTATTTATATATATTTTTTGTATATTCTTTAATATTTGAATGCAATTTCTTTCTTCTTAAAAAATTACTTAAGTGGTGTGTAATTTATTAGAGAAAGAATAGAGGTATTACCATCTACATATGACAAGATGTTCAATGAATTAAAAACTACATTTTCCTTTTCATTCACAGGTGATAATAGGCATTGGGGCCAAACCTGCTGTGAGTCCCTTTGAGAGGGTGGGTCTGAATACGGATGTTGGTGGTATACAGGTGAGGAAAATGGACAATTCAAAAAGATTAGAAATTGCAATGGAGACATTTTTAATATCAGTAACGATTTAGAGTCTTTTGTTATGAACCCTGTTCCCCCGTACACATGTCTCTTCCTTTATTTGTGAAGCATAGAGTTTGAACATGTTTATCATAATTTTTTGGTGATTATGTTATGTTTGTTAGAGATACCTGCATTTGCAGATGAAATTTAGAGGGAGGCCAAAATAATAGGTTGAAGGACTTGGTCTAAATGCATCAGTATCATGTATTTCAGGTTGATGGTCTTTTCCGGACAAACATTCCTGGAATCTTTGCAATTGGTGACGTAGCAGCTTTCCCTTTAAAGGTACACTCTTAACTTGCTTTCTGTTGAATTTTCTTATTTCATTCTTGTTCTGACATTTATATCTCCGGACAACTGGACAGATCTATAATCGTATTGCACGAGTGGAACATGTAGATCATGCTCGTCGCTCAGCACAGCACTGTGTGAAAGCATTACTCACTGCACAGACTCACACGTACCTTGGATCATATGTTCTTGCAATTTTTCCTTGAGATTTGCTTTATTTTCCCAGCTGATTTAGCTTAATTTACTTGACGATTTTCAGGTATGATTATCTTCCATACTTCTACTCACGGGTTTTTGAATATGAAGGGAGCCCTAGGAAAGTATGGTGGCAATTCTTTGGAGACAATGGTAAGTGTTAATAAAAAAATAAATATCATTGCTTAACCTTTTCTTTTCTTTTAATTTTCAAATTTCATCTCCTGTTGCTCTTACTGTTTATTTTTCTTTTCACAGTTGGAGAAACAGTTGAAATTGGAAATTTTGATCCTAAAATAGTTATCTTCTGGATTGAATCTGGTAATGATATTTTTTGTAACTGTCCGTCCTGTGTAAATGTGTGGATTATCTGAGCTTATTGGGGGATGCTTGCATGCATGCATTCATGTGTATTTTGAATGCATGCGTGTGAATGTTTGATCTTTTTTTTAATTTGCAGTTACTAAGAATTTGATTGCTTGAATGCTGCACAGGTAAGCTGAAAGGAGTTCTTCTAGAAAGTGGGAGCCCTGAGGTACTGATCAGTTGCTGCCGTATTTCAACAATTCACAATGTAGTAGATATTAGAATTAGATATGTACATATGCAGTTGTTTGCCAAAAGATGGTGGCATGTTTATGGAAAAGTGGTTAAGTTTCTTTAGTTTTTATTGGAATCGGTAAATTCATTTTGAGAGCACGATAACACTTTTAGTCAGTTATTATTTTTCCTAGTTATATGGAATAATCAGAATTTATATTCAGATAGTCCTGTTATCAATGTGTGTCTTTAATATAAAACCCTATTTAATAAATCCGGCCTATTTGTTTGCTGTCGCATGGCTTGTGAAAACCTAATGCTGAGTCGATTTTTTTTTTCTTGTCAGGAATTTCAGCTCCTGCCTAAACTAGCCAGAAGTCAGCCTTTGATTGATAAAGCCAAACTTCAAAATGCAACTTCAGTGGAGGAGGCCCTAGACATTGCTCGGGGATCCTTGCAAGTTGAAGCTGCTGTCTAGTACGGAACTTGGTAACATCATCTTGTAATTTATCTTCTTTTACGGCTAGATTATCAGTGACTATCTGTCATCATCTGCGTAGGGTTTACCCCTTAAAAGAGAGAATAATTTTTATGATAGTTCTCATCTCATCTTGGTCACATGGCATTCTAAATGGGGATCAACTTGAATGTCTAATTTGGATTTGATCTAGCGCCGTTCGGCGTCTATGAAATCTTTTATTAGTTTAATATACCCTTTACTTTCTCAGATTTATTATCGTTCATATGATTTTCTTTCTTAACTCACTGACAAAGGATTCTTAACTTTCAAGGGCATAAAATTGTGTTTATCGGGAGAGTTCGCATTAAATTTCTAGCCCGGCCCCAAAAGGCATCTTTTCTCCTGTAATTTTGTGACTTGAGTGAGATATATAGGATCTCAAATATATAGACCACATTTTTAACAAACCCTAAACCAAAGTAGGAAGTGGCAACAAACTTCTGACTTTTAATCCCAACTTACTTTGATGTTCGTGTAATACTCTCTTGCAGTTAATATTCTTTATTTGGTGGTTTTTTTTTTTCTTATTTTTAATTAAAACTGAGGAAAAAATCTATATAAAGGTACGTGATGCTATTTTAAGGGAATGGGTATGTATTATAGGAAGACGGAAAATTTTTCCGACCTGTGGGATAGGCTTATTGGTTTTTCAGTTATTTGGTGGGTTAAATAATCAGTGAAATACCCTCGGCCCCTCCGGTTGAGATTCGGATTGAAGCTTGTGAACCAAAATCACATTTCAAATTAGATATACGAGCAGTGATGGGTGCAATGACCAATTTCTGCACATATTTGTTCGAACAAAAGTTGAGCCATTTTGATACGAAGGAAAAAGAGAACCATGAAAGATTGAAAAAACGGTAGGAAAACAATAAGGGTATGTTTGATTTCTGAAAACAGAAAACTGTTTTTAGAAAAGAAATCAAATATGCTTAAGTGTTTGTGAGGTTTGTCTCTGTATAAGTGTTATTATTATTATTATTAATTTTTTTTTGCTGGAATTATTATTATTATTATTATTGTTGTTGTTTATACTATATTATTGTTTCTGCATAAATTTTTTCGTTAAATTTAACACAGTTGTATTATTAAGATTTAATCTTAACACTAATGTTATTATTATTATATACATTATATTCTAATATTAAAATTATGAGCTACTTGATCTGAAGACAAAAAGAGAAATAGCAAACAGTACATCATAGAAAAAATGTAAATAAACTGAATGGAATGATGGTGTGTAATTTTAAATATTTGTGTAATTATTATTATTTTAAAAATGATTTTGCTTTAATTATATAAAATTATTATCATAATCTGAATAAAGAATGATGGAGTTTTTATTATATTATTTTTCAAATACTTTATTATTGATTGAAATGTTATTTTATTAAATAATTTGGAACTACTCTTTGTTAATAGGATGAGATTTCACTAAATAATAAAAATAATGGTACTATTGTTCATTTAGTATAGTTAATGTATAGTCTAGTCTCTTTACATTTGTTTTATTCAAATTTAATTTCTTAGTATTTATAATTGCTATAATAATTTTTTTTTATTATATTCAAAACCTCCAAAACGCTTTAACTCAAAATACTCACAACCTGAATTAATTAAATAATTTAAACCTTTTTCCAAAATTTATTAATTAAAATATTATATTTCAACTTAAATTTAAAATTCAATTATTTTCTCTTTAAAATCATACATTTATTTAACATGATAAGGTTAGAATAAAAATTAATTTAGTGCAGACAGATTAGTGACAGTTCAATATCCTCAGGTAATTTTATCTGACTTAGGATTATCTCCTTTAGTAAATAAATATGGTCTAGACTAAAAAAGACCATTACATCAATAATTGGAAGTTGTGTACTGGGTTAGAATAAATTATGTTAGTAACAAACGAATCAGGAAATGGGAGGATTCGTAATCTGAATGATCATCGTATCAATGCTACATTTGAATCAACAAATTATGTTCATAAATATTTGTTCTGTTCAATGATAACTCACTAATGGAATTTAAAATAGATACAAGATGTTTTTTAGTTAAAGCTTAAAAGAAACATTGACAATCTGGAGATAGCTTTAATAGTCTTTAAATATCGGAGATAGCTTTACTGAAAAAGGAAAATAGTTCTGAAATTTAGAGGCCTGCCAAGGTACTCACATCCCCCAAACTGGTGAACATGGGAGAATTTTTCTTACACTGTCATTTTGGAGGCCTTCTATAAAACTGAAGGGATTAAACACTCCAGTGACAGAACTAATAGTATTATGGGTTGGGGCATACCACAATGTTTTCCCATTGATTACTATCTAGTATTTTGAACAATTTAATTCAAATTTTACTCAACATAATAGTTAAGTTTATTATTAAAGATTTTTTATATATAAAATACTCAAACTTGAGACCACTTGTGACTCATATTGACATCCATTAATCTCATTGTTCAAAGTTTTATAATATATACATAAATAAGTGTATGTATTTAACTATCTCTTATGAAATTTTTAATTTTTAATTCCACTTATGCCTCTATAAAGGTTTCAAATCTCCCTGATAATTCTTTATTACAAGTCTTTATCAATGCTCGTGACGTAGACCTTAAAAATTTTAGCTTTCTCTAAACTTTCTTGAAAAAATAATTAAATAGAATCAAATCATCACTTCCATTTACACGTTTCCTTTACTATTTTCTCAATTAAAAAATATTTTTATTAACCTTGATCCTTAGATTGATTTTAAGCATATAAAAATAGCAATATTCTTATTGAAAAATACAAGATTTAATAATTGATCAGTTTAAATGCTATGATTTCTAATAAATATATATTATTTATTAATTTTTTATGTATCATTGGACATACATTAAAAAATTAAATATTTGCTACATTTTAAACATTTTTTATATAATAAATATTATATATATATATATATATATATATTATTTTTAATTGCTTAAGCTTAAAGATTGAGATTGACATTTTTTTTTAAAAAATTACCACATGTTAAAATACAATCAACTAGAAGAGATAATGTTGATATTTGAAAATGAAAAGGAAAAATTTTACATGATGTGTCATATTTTATTAAGAGACACAGAAAAAAAGACAAACAATGTTAATGTTTAGTTTTTGTGATGTCAAAGAAATAAAATCATCCCAAAAAAACAAGGGTCACTATTAATTTATGTGACATGTTTGAATTTATATATATACACACATACAAAGTTTTGAATTCAAATTTTATGTGTAGATTTTTTATGTACATATAGTATGAATATTTATGACTTGACGGTTACTTTCGATGAATTATACGAAAAATGGTCAGAGATTAATCTATTTTTCATTTGAAGGTGGGTTCCTTATTAATTTATACAAAAAAATTTCCGTCGTTAAAATTATAGAATGATGATACAAATTCTATTCTATGCAGTGTTTTGGCCTCACTAGAAGGGGGCGAAATAGCGCATAGCGAATGGAGCATGACGCATCATAGGTCATAGCAAAGAGAATGACTTCGTCAAGGCTTTCATTTGAGTGGTCGAATAAAAGAAGTAAAATGAAATTTTGAAAAAGAAAATTATTTGCTTGGTTTAAGGCCAAACCCTTACGTCAATGGTTGATTGGTTCCTCGTTGAACATCCTCATTAAAACAAGTAATTATCTACGAAGCTACTTGTTTGACTCGTTTTCTAGTTATATTAAACATGTAGTTAGCAAGTTGGTCCATCCTCCACAGACACACATTACCCCAAACCCCAAGTTGCATTGCTTCTTTCTCCGCTTCTTCTACAACACCTCATTTCCTCCCTTCTCTCCTCCTTTTTCACACACTCCCTCTCTTCCGTAATCAAATACTATTGTCTTTTGTTAAGTGATCGTCAAATACTGGACCCAGGTGAAAATGAAGGTGAAATTTCCAGATTACAATTCTTATGCATGATCACCATATCATATTTTCTTTTTATATATTCTTATATGCTTTTGCCTTTGATATATTTATGTCCCTTTCTCTCCCTCAATTTCCCTTCTGTTTCATTTTCCATTTATACAAGCAGGACTAGTTTTTGATATTTATATTCCCCACCCTACTCTTATTTTCTTAGTATCTCCGATGGATGTGTCTCACTCATTTTATACTTTATATCATACATATTATTTAATTCAACTATGATAGTTGGTGCAGAATATAGATAGCATAGTATATATCTCAGTTACTATGTTCTTATCTTTTCCATTTTTTGTTAAAAGAAAATAAGTACATCTTAGAAAAAGATTAAAACTATACACGGGTATCTAAACGTGTTTTAATAGAATTTAATGTTAATTGCTGATTGTTATTTCTAGATTGTTTCTAGCGTTTTTCTGAGTGTCATGCATGTGGTCCTTTTTGTTGCAGAAAGTGGTGGTGAAGTTGGATTTGCACGATGACAAAGCAAAGCAGAAGGCCATGAAATCGGTTTCTAGCCTATCAGGTTTTAACCTTACTTTAATTAAATTATTAAATTACTCAGTTCTTTTGGTTTTAAGTCCATTAAGTTGTTAATTCTCAATTTTATTTGTAAACATGAAATCACAGGACTTCATATTTTGGTACAGCACCAGTCAAAGATAAAAATTATAAATGGAGCATTTAATTGAACATCTTTAAGTATTGCGACCTTAGGAAGCATTCAATAGAAAAAGAAAAGACAGATTCGGAATGATTTTGCCTATTCGTTTGTTTGAAACTGGTTATTAATGAACCAAATTGACAATCATAGCCCCTGAAAACCCAAAAAATGCTTTCGTTTTCCTTAGTGGTTATACAATAATATTTAACCAAAAGAAATGACGTATAATTTGTTGCTACTCGCAGCAGTGGACCTTAGTTAATTAATGCCTGGTTATCAAAATGGACGGCTAAAGAAAGGACGTTTTTCATTCATTTATTTATTTAAATATTTGGTCATTTTCTATTTAACTATTAAAACAGTATAATTAGTATGTAAAATTTTAATATGTAGGCATCGATTCCATCGCCATGGACATGAAGGAGAAGAAACTGACCGTAGTGGGTGACATAGACCCTGTCCACGTGGTGAGCAAATTAAGAAAAACTTGGCACACAGAAATTTTAACTGTTGGGCCGGCAAAAGAGCCAGAGAAGAAAAAAGATGAAGGTAAGAAAGAGGAAGAGAAAAAAGATGATAACAAGAAGAAAGATGATGATAAGAAGAAAGATCAAAATCAACAAATTGAGGAACTTGTCAAGCTCTATAAAGCATATAATCCCCAGATGACTACATATTACTATGTTCAAAGTGCTGAAGAGAACCCAAATGCTTGTGCTATTTGTTGACTACATATGTGCTTGAGAAGACAAGTTGTGTTTATTGGCGGATTCTATAGCACCTGAGCGTGTAAATTATATATTGGGTGGATTGATTGAAGCAGGAAGAGGATTAATGATGTATCAAAATAGGCCCAGAAGGTTTTGAATGAATAAACTGATGTGTGGATCTGTGAACATATTTCCCATTTAAAATTGTGCTATACTTGTCAACTGGGTCTTTTGTAATATTCTAAGAGAATTAAGAAATTGAATTGTTGTATGACCGTGGGATAGGATTGAATTGTTGAAGATGGGGTTATGACATCATACATCAAGATATGATGACGATGTTGACAATTTTTATATTGGGAAGATTAAAATATAAACTCGTGATTTTAAATTTGTTGGCAAAACCAGTGGCCTAATAATATCCAGAGGTAGCTTGCGACTGGAAGCATACCTCTTTGATTAAGAAATTTTATGGGTATGGTTGCCTCAACAACCGAAGGTAATTTGGAATATTAAGTAAGTTATGCTTCTTCTTTTTTTGTCAAAAAGTAGGGTACGATAAAAATCGTATTTTTGTCGTTGAAAACGGGCTTCGAAAGTCTTTGTATAACGTAAGTGCTGACTTTGATCTGTTGTGGCACTGCTTCTCCATTACTTGGCCCACGTAAGGAAGGATCACCAAACCAACCAAAATGTTTAGTTAGCTAGCAAGCTACATGCCACAGCTGTATTACCCCCCGATTGCTACACTTTTTTGTTCACCAAAAAGCATTTATTATTGTTTATGTTTAACTATTGTATTGCGAAAATGCTACTTAATTAATTCAAAATATTTTGTGTATTGTCCTACAAAAGCCAATAATAAAAGGGAAAAAAAGGGATAATTCTACGATCCTCCATTTTTTTTTTGTAAAAGTAATAGAATTGTAAAAGTAAAGCTAATGTATAAGCAAATTTAAAAAAAAATAAAACCGTGGATAATATTGTATGTTAAATCGATCACTAAGATTGAAACAGGGAAAAAAATAGATGAGTATTTTGATTTTGTTGTTAGTCATAAAAGGTAAAAAAGTAAATTGCAAACTTATATATATTTGGACTGTTAATGAATGAGTAATACGAGTTCTTTGTTTCATATATGTAGAGGTTCCTTCCAACCATAAGAGTGTTAACATTGATTATGACATTCTAAAAAATTAACAATTGATATTATTTATCTTGTCGTATTTATTGTGTACTGTTAGAGAAGATGAAAATTGGAGAAGAAATGGTACAGATAATGGTGAGGGATTCATACTTTGTATCTTTGTATGACATTATAACCCGTTACATTGTTTTTGTTTTGATTGTGATCATCAACAATTACAATGACAATAAATAGCAATGTTTTATGTAGTTAATTATACATTAAATTTGACCTATAACTATTGTATAAAGTGTAGACATATTTAAAAAACATACTTTCTACATCGGTACAATGAGATAACGTATATTGAAAGAAGAGAAGTATAACAAGTAGTCTTATAAGTCAGTTTTGCGAGTGACTAATGTAGAAAGTAAAAATTTAAAATATAAAATGTCGTTTATACATTGGATGTTCCAAAGATTGTGGTAGAAGAAATATATATAAAAATGAAATAGTGTATGTAGATCGGTTGTCTTCAAAAATCGATATAGTTAGTAGTGACAAATTGTATTTAACATTTTAAAGTTTGAAGTGAACATAATATTTTTTTGTTAAAATTAGATTAATACAAACAAACAAGAGGTGAATTTAAGGAAAAACTATCGAAGGGTAGCATTTGTTAAGCGAAAAAAGGAAGGAGATTAGGACGAAGAAGAAGTAGAGGTTAGGCAAGGCAAGCCGAATAATACCCTTTGTTAGTCTGTAAGTTAAAATGGATGTTAGAGGAAATGACGATGGAAACGAAGAGGTTTGTGTACAATATGTGTGTTTAAGCGAAAGTTGTTGTATTTAATTTGCATGAAGTAACATCCATACTGATTTCTATTTGTTACAGGTTTTTATTGATAAATGCAATGTTGAAGAGGAAATTGCAACTATAGATGAAGTTCATATGTAAAATGACGGGTATGAATATTTGTTTGATTTATCTAACACTCAAATTAAGAAGATAAAATTTTTTAGTGTGAATGAAGGTTATAAATTTTATAATGAATACAAAAAAAATGAATGGGTTTGGTGTGAGGAAAAACAAATGTGGTAAAAATAAGAATGGAGATGTTGTGTGGCAGCAATTTGTGTGTTCAAGTCAAGGTTTCTAAAGACAAATGTACCAAAGTTTGTCGAATCGACTTAGGGACCATGATGTGATGACTAGATTTGGTTGTGAAGCTGAGTTGAAGATATGAAAAGATGTAGACAAAGGGTGTTAGGTAGTTTCACAATTTTTTTATGATCATAATCATTATTTAGTTGATGACAATTATTATGAAATGTTAAGGTCACATCAAAAAATAGATAATGCTAATGTTGAACAAATGTGGAGAATAAGGAAAAGTAGTATTATAATGTCAAACATATATAACTCATTTGTTAACCAAAGAGGAAGTTATATGATGGTTAGATTTTGTAAAAAAAATATGTACAATCAGATTGAGAAAGATAGAAGTGGAAAGGATAGGGACAAAAAAATTCTTATTAAGATTGCAGTTTAAGGATCTAAAGTTGTATTGGGGTCATAAGATAGATTATAATGGAAGGTTGTGGCATCTTTTTTGGTGTATCAGTCAAATTGATTATGCAATATTTGGAGATGTTGCTTTTGATGCTACTTATGAGAGGAATAAGTGCAAATGTCTTGTGGTGGTGTTTTCAGGTGTTAATCATCATAAACAGACATGTGTATTTAGGTGTGATGTGTCTGACAAAAAGGAGAAGACTTATATATAGGTTCTTGATAAGTTCTTAACAACAATGAAGACTAAGTGTCTTAATTGTGTAATTATTTGGTTTATGCAATAACATAGTCACTAAAACAAAACAGAAATCGTTCAAACTAGACACCATATTAACAACTTCAGAATGCGATGCCATGTTATTGTTGCAACCAATTTATTCATTAATCGTTATTTTTGTAACTTAATAAGCCTTTAATCACAATGACCAATGCCATGCCGATACAACATATCATACATTTCGCATAGAACTAAACCAATAAAGCACAAAATAGTTTAACTTATGTAACAAAACCATCATTATCGTTATGTGCACAATCATTTGTGTACATTACAAAACAACTTTACACAAGCTTTTTAAAAAACCTAGACTTTCGTCATTGAGGAGAAAGAAAAAACTAACATTTTTTTCGATTTTCTTCAACAGGTTCGTCGTTGATCTTTTTCACAATGAAACCCTAAAATAAGACTCCAAAGCTCACCCACTAATGTCTAGTGTTTCTTTCCTTCTTCTACTTCTTCGACAACACTTACAATAACTGTTGGGAAGGTAGACGGTTTTATGTGAATTAATCTAACCGCACGTCAATTGAAACATCATGCATAAATAAAATAAAAAATTATCATTATGCCAACTGCGACTCAAATTACATTCTTATTCTTTACTTAATACATTATCAAATAAAGAGACAACATTATCTACATTAGCTCTGTGACCAACTACTATTGAAACTTTGCTATCTTATTTTTCCACCTTCTACAATCCTGACCACCACTAGATGTATATATAATTTTTTATTAAAAGGTTGCAACTTTCTAAGTCACCCATCTGAGACAACTGACATATAATATAACGTTTTATTATAACTCAATAAATTTTAAGTCAGTCGTCTCACAAAACTGGTATACATATAATATTAAAAAAAATTTACTTTTTACATTATTTCTCATAAGATCAATATAGTTTTTCTTAATAGGTTTGTTTCTGTATAGAGTGCAATTTTTTATTCATAATTTACTTTAAACATAAGCTATCCCAAATAATACATGTATAACTACATCATAAATTTTGTAATTTATTAAGTTTAACGTCGTTAACTCATGAATGGGCATAATGTTTAAATATTTTAGATTTATACAAATTATATTTCAATTTTGTATAAATCTTCTATATCTGATCAACCAAAACTCATAGAAATGAGTCATTTGAAATAGCTACATTGCTAAATCTTCACTTTTAGGAAGATAGATAGACTGTCAAATTTATGTCATATTAATGACATGAGAATAAAAGACATAAAAAAGAATACATAGCAACAAAAGAAGAAGATAATAAAGGAAGAACACAAAACTAAATATGAAATTATATATTTATCTTTTTATAAATTTATCTTATATCACCTGTTTCTAATTTTTTATTTTTAATCATTTAATTTTAATCAACAGTTGACACTATTTAAAAACTTCTTAAAAAAGATATTTTTCTCTTATTTTTACAAAGAATGAGAGGACTATAAAATTTTTAAAAAAAAAGATGGGAAGACGTCTTCCTCTAAAGGTGAAACTTAGTGTAAATATCGATGCTCATTCAATAATACATCTTTCTGTTTAATCAAAATAAAATGTCTAGTTGAATTTCTGTGTCTCGAGAGCCTGTTGGATTCACTCTTAGAAGAAGTGAAAGCATTGGTTTCGAGAATAGATGAAGGGTGACGCTTAAGTTACTATATATTTTATTTTGAGCAGAATAATCATAATACATAAACATCTCTGTACAGTGGTGCTAAAAGGTGCCTTATTTATTAGACTTACTCATAGATGAGTCACATTTCTGACATATAGGTATAGACATAAGGTGATCACAGTGTAGAGTGGTGTAGTCATGGCCCCAAATTTTGTTCTAGTTTTGTTAAAAAGTATATATGATTTGTGTGTATGGCCCTTAAAATTTGAACGGAAAACATACAAATATGTTAATTATTTGGGCTCACTCCAAATATTTTGTGAAGCTCAGCCATTGTTAACCACCGAATATTTTGAAAATCTTGATGAGACATGTCAGCTGGTAACTTAAATTCTCTGCTTTTAGATGTATAGAACATTGTACGGTATAGAAAGAGTATACTCTTGAGTCTTATATGGGGTGATTACCTTTCTCACCATTTCAAATTTTAATTTTTAAGATAAATAAATAATACCTTCTGAAATCTTATTTTCAGAAGATAGAAAAAAAAAATTAATGATATATTTAACCAAAGAAGAGAGATGACAAAAGTAATTACCCTTGGATAACTCCTCAACTCAATGAAAGACTTGGGCAATTGATACCATGTTGGGTTAGAATCAACTGAATTAGGCCCAGTTGCGTAGATTTGCAGCAAAATAAATTTGAAGACCATTGGTATGATGATGTGACTTGGTTTCCTTCAAATCATAACAAATTCTAACATGATTAAAAAAAACTCAATAAAATATCTATTTGTTAAAAAAATGACTCATATTGATGTTCAGCATCAAGCTAGTGGCTCTTCCGGAGCATAGTGATTGAGACACTCTCCAATGTATATCTGACGGTCGTCATACTTGATGTTGACAAGGCCACCGCCTATTGCATATACAATAAATAAATAATTTTTTAATTAAAAATTATAGTTTTTAAAGTTATTATGTAATTTTTAATATATTAAATTTTATAATTTTAACTAAAATTTATTGCATATAATTTTTTATGTATTTCTAAACACACGAAAAATTATAAACAAATTAACCTTTATTAGGACCTGAAATAGAAATGCGCATGAGGGGTCCAATTAATGAGGAACTTTCAGATAATTTGCTGTTAGTTTTAGGTGCAAATTGTGATAATCACTAGAAGTAAAATTAATTAATAGCCTGCTTACGTAACCTTAAACTTGTGTAACTAAAGCCTTTTTATTATTGAGATGATACACTCATCAGTGACGGGATCCTTTCTGCCAATCTTATTTTAATAATCAGCGGCGATTGATCTGTTAACGTAAGTTCACAGAAGAATAGACAACTTTGTGAATGCAATTTAGCTTAGGTCATAGCTTATATCACATCTTATCCAAAGATTTGGTATCGGTAATTCCCGAAACCTGCACTAATCTTTGGTTGTTTTAAGATACTATTTTTAATTCCTGCATCAAATCTTATCATATGAGTTTTTGTTATATGAAGTATAATCACTGGTTATCAAGTAGACATTACAAGATTGAGATGACCAAGGATAACAAATAAAAATAAAATAAAGTTCACCAGCTACAACATTGCTCTATATCGCTCTTAAAATATTACCTTAAACATTCTTTATTTGGTTAACCCTACTTTTTGCTGCCCCAAAAGTGCAGGTATATCAAAATAACATTCTTTAGAATCAGATTTCACATTCCTCAGAAACCCCTAAATATACGCCAAAATGCGAAAAAAGAAGAAGGAATAAGCGTAATATTAATAAACGCTGGACATTTGACCCAAAATTTTGCATTTGCCTGTTGATTGTACTCTGCTGCGTATATTACCGAGATTAAGTTATTTAACTTAATAATTTTTAGTTATGCACACTAAATTTTAAATAAATTAAATATTTACACCCGTATAGTTAATAATTATTTATAATTCAAAAAAATTATACATCAAAATAAATTATTATTAATTAATTTTGTAAAATTAATCTATTTATATAAATTTTTAATGTAACAATTAAATTAATAAAATTTATCAATCAGTAAAATGTTATTCAGAGAAATACAAAAATAAATAAATAAATGATGCGATAAAAAAATTACTATATAAGTTGTGGTATAGTTTTATTATATAAATATGATATGTTTATTCAAATATAAGAAGCCTCGTCTTTGAACAAATAAAGAAGAAAACGTGTAGGAGATTTTTTTGGAAGAAGTGCGAGACTACAAGCTTTTCTTTTCTATCCAAGAATTCGTGAGTCCTTGTAAAATGAATATTTGACAAATTGAAAAAATAAAATAAAATGATTCTTTTTCTGTGGCCATTTTGCAATATCAACTTTCCTTGTTTAAACTTAAAAACAAAAATAGGGTGGGGGTATTGTATATTGAAGACCTTTACTAACAATTCATTCATCATTGGCCTTACAATTTCATTAACAGAATACAGACATCTTTGGACTCTTCTAATAATATAAACCAATAACTAAACAAAAACTATAAACTTCTTTCACCATGAACCCATTATTTGGTAATTAAGTGAAAAAAGAAAAAATGTCCCCAAGATTGAAGGGGCATGCATGATGAATCTAGCAGCATAAGTTGAATGACGCAAGGCATCCTCCATACTAGAAAGACTGTGATGTTGGTCACAAAAACAATATCAAGAATTCCCTGCTATTGTTGTTAAAAAGAACAAATCTAACACTTGTGCATCTTGCCAAAATAAAAATCAAAGAACCAAATAATCTTAATTTCTTCAAATTGTGGCTTTAACTAGAGGTGAATGAGGTATTGGGGAGTGAGGTGACATCATGATATCTTCAAACCTTCTTGATTTGAGGCTAAGCCTCAAGTTACTCTGCCAACATGGTTTCTTATTAGATACCATAACCTCCTTATTTTGAAGCACAAAGGTGCGAATTCTTTGCAAAGCAACTTGCAAAGCCCTATCATCATCCATGTTAGCATAGCACACCCTAAACCACCCTGGTTCAGTGCAATGAAAAGAAGAACCAGGTGAAACATTGATCTTAACTTCATGAATAATCACTTTCCACAGCTCCATTTCTGATTCAAGTGTTGGCTTTTTAAGAAGATGTCTCAAATCCATCCACACAAAGAGACCAGCATTACTTTGCAAACACTTTATGCCAACTTTTGCCAACCCACCGGTGAAAACTCTATACCTTTTTTCTAACCTCTTGGCACTCTCTTCAAGGAACCTTTCCACAAACTCATCATCAGATAGCATTGATGCTAAAAGATACTGAGTTTGTGTTGACACTAATCCAAAGCTAGACATTTTGCGTGCACAATGGACCACAGCATCATTGTAAGAGTATATGATGCCAACTCTAAAGCCAGGGAACCCCATATCCTTTGAAAGACTATAAACAATGTGAATGAGGTTATGATCACATTCAATATCTGTTTCTTCCTCTAATATCTCAGCTATGCTTATGAAACTTGGGTGGCTGAAAACTGTTGCAGCATATATTTCATCACATACAAGGTGGATACGCTTTTCATTGATGAAACTCACCACAGTTCTTAGTGTTTTTCTGTCCATGACAGTGCCTAATGGGTTTGATGGATTGGTAATAAGCAAGCCCTTTACTCTTATGTTATCCTCTATGGCTTTCTCATAGGCACTTTCTAATGCTTGCCTTGTCAACTTGAAGTTATTAGAGCTTTCACACATAACTGGAAGAAGTTTAACTCCTGTTCTCCACCTCAAATCCCGATCGAAACTGCATTAGGAAATTCAGTTGCTTGTTAGAAACTAATTAAGATGTCGGTGTCAACAATATTATATTTATTATATGGCTACATTTCATACGATTATACAAACTTTCTTGTTTTATTTTGTCGTGTACATAGGAAGAATAAAAGAAAATGCCGTGACGGCTTGACAATGAGTCAATGAAACATAGTTAGCGGTGGACAAGTTGCTATTTATTTGTGGTGTGAATTTGACCTTAATTTATGAACTTTTTTATAATATGATCCTTTGACTAATGTCATACATGACACGAATGATGATGAAGTTTGAAAATGCAAAGTTATTTCCGTGGAAAATATTGACGCCCCCTTTTTGTGAGGTCAAATGGTTGGAAGAAAAGAGATATGAAGAACATAATAAAAAAATTAAAAAACGAATATAAGAGCATAAAAATGTTAAAATATAAGAGTTGTGTACTCCCTTAAGATATATAAAAAGGTTTGAGTTTTAAAAGAGACAAAAAGGATCATTTTTTTAACATTAATTGAACTATATAAATTTATATATGAAAAATAAAATAAAATACATCAAATTTATAATAGTATATCATTTTTTTCAAGTTAGCTAATAAATATATTTATAAAACTATAAATTTCATCTTTTCCCTTTTTTAATTTAATTCTCATAGATGCTCTTAAAAAGCAGTGCAATCAATATCTTATCTGGGTGGAAATCAAAAGGAAGGCAGTTAAGTGGAAATCAAATCTATTTTAGTTGAAGAGCATCATCACACACGTCAGCCATACTTCATCATTCTCTCTCTCAAAATAATTGAACAACAACTTCAAAAAAATAATAAAATATATATAAAGCTAAAATTGAATTGAATATATTACCCTGGATAATAGGGAATTGGCACCAAAAAGGCGTCACCAGGGTCTGCCAAACAAAAAGCAGTGACCTCGTGTGCTCCAGTTGCTCCACCACTCATCACAATGCGGTCAGGGTCAAAACTCACTCTATTTCCTCTCGTTCTACCCATGAATTTAGCCACGGCCTGTGCAAATTTCAATTCACGTTTAGTTTGTGTTTCAAAATATCAATACTCTGACTGAACTTGTTAATTTATGGATACCGCGAGTTATGTAATCAAATTTCTTGGTATAATGTCACTCACATTTCTGAACTCTGGTAGACCATGATAATCCTGAAAATTAGCTATGGCTCTGAAATCCCATACTCCTTCTGGAGTACAAATAGAGGCCTCGGGGTTACTTAGCATCCAATCTTGAACGAAATCAGAAGTAAGCTGCAAAGATTTAAGATCATTGAATTAGAACTAATTATTATTAACATGGGAAAATATTAATAATATGCTATACATATCCTATTAGTATATCCTCGAAAGAATAGGAATCTCCTATCTTCTGCAATTGTGATAAGAAGCTTTATTTGCTTTATACCTGATTCTCTGCAAGACCCATTTGGATAACCCCATTAGGATTGTTGGTGGGATGAAAGGGGTCTTCATCATAAGCCTTCCATCCATCAAAGTATGGGGATCCTTCACCATGTCCATCGCTGATGGCTATCTTGGACAATAATTGAGTCTGGTCCACGGTCATGAGCCCCATAGAGTCTATGTTTATGTTGTCCTTAGAATAATGTAGTATATATCGATGTAAATAAATTGATGAAATCCAAGTCAGGGAGGAAGTGAGGGCTGCGTCAAGTCTTTTGAGTAGTGTTATGGGAATTTTGGTATGAAGAATTTACAAAAGCAATGCGTTGCAATGAACTAAAGGTGCTGGAGGGGGTGCTTATTTATAGCATGTTGGGCACAAAATTACCTTGACTTTGAGAGACAAGAATCTCTTCAGTGCAAATAATAAAGAATGAAACTTCGTTGAAGGAGAGAAGAGTCCAACCTCAGCAATGATGCTTCGTGGATTTGAAAATTAGGCAGGAGTTGGTACGCAGACAAGACCGTCAATTAATTAATAATAATTGTCGTACTGAGACCTAGCAAGATGCCACTTGTCTTACTTCAATGGGAGAAAGAGGATAGACTTTGTGACACACGCTTTTATCAAGTACAGCATCCAAGTTGAAACTAATTACGCACACATTCTTGCGTGTATGTTACTTCATATTTATCTAATTTTTATCACATGTATATATTTTTGCTTTCACGTCGTACTTAACCTTTTTTTTTTCTCAAACTTCAAATTTAATTATTTTTAAAAATGTTATAAAAATTCCTTTTCCACGTCAAATCTCAATCACTTGTATTTTTGTGAGTAAATCACTCATATTATACAATTAATTCTTTTTATTACTTTTAATTTTACTCTGTTCTCCATGTCTAAGTTATTAATAGCACAATTTGAAAATTCAAATTTAATTTTTAATATATCTTTAATATACTTTATAATAAAAAAATGTTTACCAATTTCTTAACAACAAGACTTAACCTTTAAACTAAAATGTCCAATGCAAATACAACGACCATTAGTAATATGTTTAAATTAGGGTTGTACATGGTCAAATCAGATTAATAGAAATATATATAGGATTGATCTTGTAGGGAAAAAGAAAACAGAGCAACTCAAAACTAATCATCCTAATTAAATACAGCTTAACTTGTGCAACTTCATTTTGTAGTCATTAGAAAAATTTCTAGTCTCACAAAATTTTTATTAAATTTAATTTTGTCTCTGAAAATGCATACATTTAATTATGATTAATAAATAAATGGGTGCTTAATTCGATTTAGATAATTGAATTGAAGAGGGCACACGTTTGTTTAAAAATTATAGTCGATATATATATATATATATATATATGTGTGTGTATTTTGTTTATCACAACACTCTTAAATTATATAAAATAAATAAATATTTGTTCATAAAAATATTATTACTTAAACCAGAGAGGCAACGTGGTGGTGGCACGACAAAAGAGGAGGGGAGTTGAACGGTGGACTCCTGGACTGACAGCAAGCATCATCTGATCAATGTTTGTAGGCTACAGGTTAGGTTACCAGTGTCGTGTCAAATTTTGAGTTTGTTTTTTTACTCTTATGGTATATGTTTATTTTTATTTGAATAATTTTTCTATCTTTAATTTTTAATTTATTAAAGGAGAATAAAATAATCATATAATTAAAGACAGACCTTGTTATTTTAAGAGCAGCAGCATAAACTCTTGAAATTTTCTGAAGTTTAAAATGTTATGCAAAATTTAGGGCAGAGGTTAGTGTAATATAATTCATTATTTTTGACTTTTTATTTTTTAACTAGTTTAACTTGAAATGTCCCTAAAAATGTTTCATAATTAATTAATTATAATATTTATTCTTAATAAATAATATGATTAATCAACTTATTTATCTTGCAATCTATTTTTTAAGATAAAATTTAATCAATTTCCATTTCAGGAAATTTTTAAATTTTTTTTAATTATTTTACTTTTTTATATTCTTTAATACTTATAAAGGATATATTAATTTTCTATTAGATTGTTTTTAATATCTTAAGTTTTAAAATAAATCAAGAGTAACCATATCAGAATATTTAACCAAAATTAAAAGCTTTTCAATATTAATTTAACTAGCAAGTTTACGGATCATTTTCAATTTAAATAGATTATAAATATATGTTTTAAAAATTTGTGATTTTTTTTATTATTAGATAAATATTTTAATATATTAAATAAAACTAAATAAAAAATAAAATAATTTTAAAACGGAAGATAAAATTATGGATATAAATTACTAAAATTTATGACATTTTTTATTGATGCAGTTGGTCAACTTTTAATATTTTAAAAAATAAAATTAAGGATTTGGTTTTTTAGCTTCAAGTCTGGCGTGGATTTAATTTTGTCAACTTTTAACGCTTGAATCGAGTAGATTAATCAGATATCATTGACTTTTCACCTAATTTAGTTTGCTTCTTTGTTTTTTCTTTAAATAATCGTGTCAAATAAGGTCATGACACTGTAAAAAAATGCTATTTATCAATAAATAAAAAACATAGAAGTATTAAAATAGCTTTTATTAATATACTTTTTATTTGATAAATTATAATTTGTTAGCAAAATTTTTTAAATGTTTATTAATAAATAATAGTTATAATAACATGTAAATATTAATATAATGTAAATTGATAAAGAATAATATTTTTTGTAGTACTGGTTTATCCGACCTCAGGAAGATCACTTGATTTGTTCACTCGGGGAAGAACGAGTACCTTACGTGTTACTAATATTTGAAGAGGATAGTACTAAAACTTCGGTCTGCAATTATTTGGATATGCTATCAGCATTAAATGGCTCAAGTGGCATTTCATCGATTAAAAGAAAGTGTAACCTAACCAAGTTGGTGTTGGGCAAGAAGCATGTGGCATTATTATGGAGGGAGTGGGGACTGAGGTCCCATTCAAATTATTGTTATTTTGTTTTTTCCCCATCAAAGGAAAACAAGTTTTGGTCATCGAAAAAGAAAAATAAATACTCATGGAAACTGGAGTAGTTGAACTCACTAAGTTTTGTTTTTGTGTCCAACTTTCAAATCATATGCATGGTTAGTGCAACTTCAAACAACCGACCAAAACAATCTTAAACGCATCATTCATGTTATTGAATTATATGATAATCCCCCATTTTTTTTATTATTATCATTATTTCTTTTATATTATTAAATTAGATGAATCCCCTGGCTTCTCATTATACATATCTAGAATGTTGAATTACAGTATTTTTTTTCTATAAAGTGTCGAGTTACCTTAAATTCTTGTTAGAGATACAATATTGCAGCACAATTGTCAAATTTAATGTTTGTAGAATGATAATTTTTTAAAAAAAAATTGTATTTTCGTATAAAGAAGTTAGTTCTAATTATGAATGTGGAAGTTAGTTCTAATTATGAATGTGGTCTACGAAAAAGTTATTACATATAATTTTTATCAGACTAAAAGTTAATAGAAGTGACTAAAACTTAAAAAGTTACTAAAATATAAAAATTCAAAATAATATAAATCTTAAAAAAATCAATGAAAACATTATAATATTAAGTTTTATCCCTAGTCATCTTATAGGAAAATATACCTTAGATCGTGTTTATTGATCATATACTTTTTTTTTCTCATCAGTAAAATAGAACTAAAAATATTATAAATCTCATTTTTTTTCAATGTATAAAACACATGTTTTAATAAAAAAAAAACAATAATAATAATATGTAGGCTTCACTTTTTCAAATATTAAAAACAGTTTAGTTACACAATTTGCTTTAGAGATACCCTTAACCCATCAATTAATTTTATACTTTCTTGTGTAACATGTCCATCGATCTATCTATCTCCATATATTGAATATAAGCATTGTTTTTAAATAAATATATTTATAATAATAAAAAGGATGTGAATTTAAAAATTGTATTTAAATATATTTATAATAATAATAATAATATTTAAATAAATATATTTATTTTAATTATGTGCTCAAAATTAGTAACAAATTTAGTTCTGGTTTGCTTATTCAACAGATTCGTGTCCGGTGGATCCCTCCCAGCCTTGGTCATTACAAACTTAACGTGGATGACTCAATCACATATCACCATCAAGTTGCAGGATGTGATGGTCTTATTGGAGATGATAGCGGTAGTTTTATTGCAAGTTTCTTTGGCTGCATCTTTCCTTGTTCTCCTTTAACTGCTGAACTTTGGATTATGTTTTGGGATATCAAGTTGGTTATTCACAAAGGTTTTCAGAGTATTTGGATAGAAAAAGACTTTAAAGAGGTTTTATTTTTTGTTTTGAACGTTCAGCCTAACTCTCACCCTTTTGCTGCCTTATATCATATATATTCTTCTATATTTTGTATTAAAATCATAATTTTATATTAATTTAACTTTTTAATGATTTATCTATCAATTTAAAAACTATTTTTAATTTAATTTTATTTAAATTAATAAAATATTTATATTTTTTTGAAATTTATTTATTATTTAAAATTATTTTAATTAATAATACACATATTATGTAAAAAAATTGATAATACTAATTTATTGTGTGGCTTTTGGTATTTCATATTTTGTGGTATTCTTTTCACATTATTAACATTTTAATGTTAAAGCTAATGTTATAAAAAAATTTAATTAAAATATATGACAGTGTTAGTACTATTTTAAAAAAAACTTTTATAATGATTAATATAAATTATGTTAATTCTTATTTTTGGTGGTTATAGAAAAAGAGGAACATTACTAAGTTGAAGAGAGAGAGAGAGGGAGCTGCAGTAATTATACTTTACAGAGGAAAGGAAAAGAATGAGTTGATTGCGTGTTCATAATTTGGCACATGGGTGGCGGGAAGAGATGGTTGGGGTGTTATTATGAAGATTGAAGATGAGAATTATAGTGAGTGAGAGCTTTGGTCAACCCTTCAATGTCTCTTCTTCTTTCCATCTAATTGCCAATTCGCCAAACCTTCCACCCAATCTCAGCCTCTTGGTCAAAATCCACGTGGAGTGGAGATTACTGTTAATTTTCTCAAGATTTGGGACTAATATTTCAGTTTGAAATAATCACCACTTCCTTTTCTTTCTTTCTCACAAGTAACCACTCCACCCCCTTTAGATCCGACAAGAACATAAGAAATGAGATAGTGGGATTTTTTAAATTTTTTTTGCCTATTTTTAAAATATACAAATAAAATAATTGTATATAACATTATATACATTATTAAATTTTAATATTTCAAACAGTTAAACTGATTAAAAAAAACAGGGTGGAACACAAGAGAAAAACAACAAATTTGATATTACTTGACATGTAATAAAAAGTATATTATGTTTCATCGATAATTTTTTTGAAAAAACTCACAGTTTTATTAATTTTGTAAATTAATTTGATTTAATACAAAAATTCAATAATCAAATCATCGATTTTATTTTAAAAAATATTACTTTTTATTTAGATCTTAAGTATTTTGATTGGAATAATTTTATTTAATTATAATACAGTTTTATTAAGTAAAACTTAAACTCAAGACAAAATGAGAATAAGGTTTATAATTTCTTGGTAATATAATAAACTATGTTTCAATAACAATGGATAAAACTTTACATTTATTTGGTAAAAAGAAACAAATTAAGTTATAATAGTACTATGTATGAGAAAAATTTTCTTATTTTTATAAATGTGTTCTCCTCAAAATTACAAAGAAAATGTTCAATATTTTATTTTAAAAAAGTTGTAGTTGAAAGTATATGTTTTAGCTAAAATTTTAGATGATCATAAAAATTTTACTTTTTGACAAGTTTTTATGAAATTATAATAAAAAAACAATAATTTTTAGTTGAAAAAAATTTAACCTTTTTATAAATTTTTTATGAAAATATGAGAATAAAAAGAAATATAATTTTTAGTTAAAAAGACATTTTAATATACTTTTTTACAAGTTCACGAATGATGTGTAAATAAAATTGTAAAAGACTAATAAGTCTAAAGTTAGCCTGAAAAAAAGGATGTTTTAAAAGACATTGTCTTAAGTTATTTTTGGTAAAGTATAAGTGATAAATGTTTCTAAAAAAATAACGGATTTATGTTGAAAATTTGAATATATTGAGAATGGTTGCAGATTAAGAATATACTTAAAAAAACTTGTAAAACAAATTTTAATTTTAATTCTAAATTGTTATTAAATTTATTTATTTATTGTTAAAATTCAGTGTAAATACTTTATAATTTAAAAGATTTTTTCTCTCAATACATTGACCTAACTCTAATTAATAAGATTAATTTTCGTGGCTAAACGAAATCATGAAATGGTTTCGCACCCAGAATATGCAAGAAATTTTTGAACATTTCATCATTGGCTGTCTCTTGCTAACTAAAAAACTCACTTGACATGTTTGAATTTCAATTTCCAAAACCCAAATATATACTTTAGCAAAACATCCCTGTTCCTCATAATGCTAACCATCATAATTGACGATTTTTTTCAGTGAACATGAAATTTTATCGACCCAATTCCAATTTGCTGTTGTGTCCAAACCTCGGCGATCGATTCCACTTAATTTTTAATCTTAAAAATGTTAGACCGCAGCCATATTCTTAGCTAGTTGTTCGAAGTAAATGTTGATGAATCCATTGATTTAGTCATCGATCATATTTATCCACTGCAATGCAACCCCAGGGTCAAACTTGCCATCTAATGAGAAAGAACAAGTCACCCAAACTAAAATTTAGCAGCCAGGGGAAGAACATATATTAATTATGTCATAATTAGTTCTCTAAGATTGAGGGAATGATAAAGGGGAAGTTTCATCATTGCCGAACTTGCACATTAAATCTTATCAAAAAATGAAAGTAATGTTAATTGTTATACAAAATTGTAATGTGATTTATATAAGTAAACAAACTATTAAGTTAATTTTATTGTAACAAGTGGCACAATATGTGTCCCTGCAAACATTCATCAAATTACTATAGTATTACTTTATTTGAGTGAATTTATAGAGAAGTTTATATATATATATATATATAAAATAGTATAAAAATAATAAAAAATTTTATAAGTTAAAAATAATTTGTTTTTTAAAATTTTAAAGATAAATAAAATAGTTTCTTAAAATTTATAAAAAATAAAAAAGTATAAATTATTTATAACTTATGAAAAAAAAATTATTTATATTTTATATTAATTTTTTCTATTATAAAAACTTATCAAAACAGGACTTATGTTGACCTTACACAAAAAGAACTTCAGACAGGCAAATAATGACATGCAACAAAGATGTAATGAAATGTTTGGAAGAATTATATTTTTCAAATTATTATATTTGTTAAATTTTAAAAATAAGGTTCTAAAGCTTAAAGCTGTAATGTTTAGAAACACAAAAGAAAAATAAAACCTAAATAAACAAATTTCAAACTTATAATCAAAAATAAAAATTTTGTTCCACCTTATAAATTACTAAAATAAATAGTATTTCACTTAAAATAATTTTTGTTAAGAGATATATAAAAAAATAAACACTATTAAAAGGAAAATTCATAATTATTTATTATTCTTGAGGTTTATTTATATTAAAAATAACTAATGTTATTTATCTTTAGTTTTCAAAAGAAGAAAGTTTATATAATGATATTATTTTTTTCAGTCTCTTTGCTAGAGAAAGAGAATCAAACTTAGTTTTTTGAAACTTAATAAGAAATAGTATTTTTTCTGTAAAATTTGTCTATCAACTTCTCTATAATTCTGTTTAGGAGATCAAATGTAATTAGGATGTGTTTGAATTAATTTGACAATGGAAAGACCCTCCTAAAATTTCTCTCTTCTTTTAAAAATTGGGTCATAAAAGGCTTCTTACTAATGAAGAAATACTTCATATAGGTCTAACTGATCTATCCACCTGTCCTAGATGTAGAGAAGCTCCTAAATCCATTATGCATGTTTTTAGAGACTGCTTTTATGATCAAGAAATATGGCAACATTTTATATTTCTCACTCAATGTCACTAATTAGTTTGTGTCTAATTTAACTCAATGTAGGTTGAGCAAATTTATGGACTAGAACTTAATTTTTGGGTTTATTATGTGGCATCTATGTAAGGATAGAAATAATTTTATTTTTAATAACTTATCTATCCAACTTAACTCCATGAAGCATAAAATTCTATGTGACTTTCTATTTTTTTCTTCTGTTTGCAGAAATTGTACCAGTCATCTCTCTAAGCTAGTGCAAGACAAGACTATGATCAGAGACTAGGATCAGGTGGATCCCTCCCCCTCATGGATATGTCAAACTCAATGTAGATAGGTCTGTTTCAAAGTGTAGAGATGTAGTTGCTTGTGGTGACTTAATTCGAGACAATAATAATAATTTTATAACTAGTTTTTACAGCAAAATTACCATCTGTTGCTCCCTTAAAGTTAAACTTTGAAATTTTTTCTTTGGTGTCCAACATACAATAAAGAAAAGATTGAGAGTGATTATAAGGAGACAGTCTCTCTTATTCTTAATATACAATTTTACTGTCACCCTTTTTTTGAGGTCCTTAATAAAATTAGAGATTTACTTTATTATATTAAGTTCATTAAGATTCTGCATGTGTGTAAAGAGACTAATTAATGTGCTGATTGTTTAGTTAATTTTGACATTGATGAGTCCTGTATTTGCATTATTTTGATGTGGCTCCCGTGCCCTTAACTTCTTTTCTTGAATATGGATGCCATTGGTAGTCCCTTTTTAGGACTCTCTATGTAGTTATTTTGTTCTGGGCTATTTAGCCCATTTTATTAAAAAAAAAAGTGATTTGGACCCAAGCATCTCCATCGATCCATTAACCAAGGGTAAAACCCTTGAAAAAAAAAAAAAGAAGAACGAAACCCCTAACAGTGAGAAGGAGTTGGTGGGTTTGAGTTTGAAAGAAGGCATTAGAAACAGAAGCAGAAGGAAAAGCAGAGGCAGAGCGCAGTAGGAAGAGGCATGGCGGCGCCCGAATCCCCTCTCTGTTACGTCGGTGTCGCCAGGCAATCCGCTGCTTTTCGCCTCATGAAACAAATGGTACTCTCTCAGTTATTCATCTTCATTCTTCTCTATATAGTCGATTTAATCTATTTATTTAGGGTTGGGAAGAAGGAGAGGGTCTCGGAAAAGACAAACAGGGAATCAAAGGACATGTTCGAGTCCAAAACAAGCAAGACACTATTGGTTTCTTCTTCTTCCTTTCTTTTGCTTTTCCATCTCTCTCACTTCGCTATGCTCATTTCCTTGTTTATTCATATTTCAATAGGTATTGGCGTTGAGAAGCCTAATAATTGGGCGTTTGACACCACTCAATTTGACAATATTCTCAAGAGATTGAAAGTTGTATGTTCCTCTCTCGATTTGTTCCTCCTTTTCTCATTCATTCCGTGCTTTTTTCTCTTCGCTCTAAACTCTCTTTCTTTCTTTCTATGTACTGAGCAGCAAGCGCCACAATCACATGACACAGGTATAATCATTATCATATTCACACGTGTTTTTGATTTCCATTAAACTCTCCTCTCATCTTCCCATGTAAATGTGTGTTAAAAGAATTGCGTTTTTTGTGAACTGTGACAGAAATAGAGAAAAACGCAGCTAAGGTAGAAACCGAAGCTAGTGTTGCTGTCGATAATCAGGATTCTGTCTCCAAAGCTACAAGACCACAAGGAAGGTATGCATGCCTTCTAATTTATATTTATGGTTTTGTCTATTACTTGATGTAACTATGCGTGACATGTGCTTTGCTTTGTTTCAGATACAAGAGAAGAGAGAGTGGGAAGCTTGTCTCTCAATATTCCTTGAAGGATCTCGAAGGAATTCTTGTAAGTTCTAACCGTGGATAAGAAGCTCAATAGTATGTTTAATTTTATTATTATTGTTGTTGCAAAATAAATTTTAAAAAATGGTGAAGGTGTTTATCCTCTATGTGATGGAATGATGTGGAGTTTCTTTACCCAGTTGCTAAATTGAATGAATCACTAACCAAAAATGTTGTAAATGGTTTTGGATTCTGATATTGACTGTCAGATTCTATAACCTAAACCTTGTTAATTTATGCATTTGTTATTTTAGTTACTTGATTCTGTCAACTATTTTGCTTTTATGTTTGATTCAATGAACCTGGAATACCTATAACTTCTCCATGCCCACTATCTTCATTTTAGAAGCTACGTTTGCACCTGATGGGGCTTTGTTATCATCTGAGCATTGGTTAAAAAAGACATGAAGATATGTGTTCCAACTTCATTTGTGTATTCCAATACCAGGGAATGCACAACTTTTGTCCCTTTAAACTGAATTTTGACAGAAACTAACCATAGATTGCAATCACCTCAAATTTTAATAACATGAATGAATGCCTGAAAATTGCCTTCCCTTGTGCCTCTTTCATTTTTTTTAAAATAATTCTCATTACTTCAGTATTAGGATTTAAGTATTAAGCTAATGGTGTTCTGTAAAAGTTCTGTCTATACTGTTAGAACTTAGAATTTTATATAATCTAGCCCCTTAAATGTATATTTCTGTTTTATTTTATAGAAGGCTGTTACTGGTTGTTTACTTGGATGATGTTGGTGATAGGTTAAAAAGGGTGACATATCTGGAGGTAATAGTAATTCTGATGGTGAACTTGACTTATTAAAGACATCTGAAATTCAAACTTTTGAAGATGAAGGTATAAGATCGAACTGCAATGGAGTTTTTGTGCTATTTGTGTTGATTGACATCACATATGATATTTGGTTACCATGATGGTATAGGAAGCACATATCCTGGTATACCTCTGGACTGGTGGGGCTACAAGTATGGTTTTGTATCTGGTGGATTTCTTGGAGCAGAATCAAAGAAGAGAAAGTCCTTGATGTCTGGAAGTGCCAAAAATATGGCAGAGAGAACTGCATTTTTTGAAGAAGATCAAGAAAACCTTTATAAGCTAGTCCAAGTATGTGACCTCTTGCCTAGCAAACTAGTTATATTCTGTATATTTTTAATTTGTCAAAGGATAACAGTAGTATGTTTGCATGTGATGTTCAATTATAGGAAGGATCTGGTATTGCTCATGTGATATCTTTAATAGTAGTGCTATGTTGTGTGAATAAGTTCATAGCCAAACCTGAAACGTGATGATTGATTATTTTGTAATTGTTATGCCAGGAGAAATCCACAACAGGAAAGCAAGGACTAGGCATCAGGGACAGACCCAAGAAGGTAGCTGGGTGCTATTTTCAGGGTAAAAAGACATCCTTTGATCATAGTGATGATGAAGATTCTGGTGACACAGATTCCCTGGAAAAACGAACACATGATGATTTAATTAAAGTAGAAAAGATTGTTGAATGCAAAGTGAAGTTGAAAAAGTTGTGCAAACAGATTTTAAATCGGGTGAGGCCTATTTTTTGCGTTTCAAATATTTTCTCTTATCCTTTAATTCGTGACTGTTTACTCACTCACTTAATTGCAGGTGCCTGGAGAATCGTTGAAACTGAAACAACTTAAAGTTCTTATTGATGAACATTCATCTTCAATTTTGTCTGGCTTTTCTTCAAAGAGAGAGGCTGTTGCTTATTTGAAACAAAAAGTATGGTTACCTTGATCACATATCACAGTTATACAATTCATTTTAAATCAAATGATGTAGTGTTATTAACAAATGCACCAAATTGCATGTGCAATATAAAACTACCTAATTACTTTGCTAAATCTTATACTATCTGAATAATCAAAATTGGGTTGATTTTCTAATTCATATTTACCAAACATGAATGGAAGTGAAAATCAGAAAAGATAAATTATATTCCTTTTTGTCCTTTTATATTTTTGTGAAAATTATCTAACTACAATTTGTGGATGCACCTATATGGGATTGTGGATAACTGCTAAATTGCTTAATATAATCCTCTCGTGGAGATATTTGATGCTTGAAATAAGTTACACTTTTATCGGGGATATGGGAACCACTGTTAGTAGAGCTTGTGGATTGTTTCTTTCTTATAATTGGCATTCAATAGTATGGTGATATCGGTGCAATTATCATCTAGCAAGTTTTGACATGATTTGTTCCTTAATTGCAGCTGACAGGTAGTAGGAAGTTTTGTATCGAAGGGAAAAGAGTGCGATTGGCATCTAAGAGAACCTGAAATTTTGATACCTCTTTTGCGGCCTTTTCTAATTCAGTATATTTTCTCACAGCTGTGCGAATATGCAGATTGCAGCAAGAGTTTTAGTTTAGGCAAATTTTCATTCGTTGGCTTCATCAACGTATGTTGTAGTAATTAAATAACATTTTATGAAATTTAGATTTATTTTTTTTGGTTGTAAGTTAAAATTCTGGTAAGTGCTTGTCCCCTGGATTGGATATTAAAATTATCTGTGTACTCATATAGGAATAATGAATGTCCATGGAAATGTCAACATGGTTTCTTTACTTGAACACTTTAACATTTCTCATCTTATTAAGAATCTTGATTGTCGATCAGAAAAAATAAATAAAAATGTTTTTCTTTTGTTTGATTTCTTCTCTTCTTCCATAGATCAAACATATCACGGAATATGAGATGTATCTAATGTCATTTTCAAGTGTGTATTATCACTCATGTTTAAACAACGTCTAAAATATTTTTTTTTCTTATAACTATATTAGTAGTAAAAATATTTTAAATAAAAAACTATTGAGTGATAATAAATATATACAAGTGATAGTAGACTCTTCCCAGAATATACTAGAAAGCTTGTAACCTTACCTTCGAGTGATGGCAAGATTGATACCGTACTTTCCGTTGGGCAATTTTTGGGTTGGGATCGAGAAGGGGGAAGCAGAGGGAGCAACTCGAGAGTTGTATTGGGTTCAGTGTCGCTTTCATTTTAACTCGAAAAGGGTCGTTGAATTATGAAAACTTGTTATGATTACTGTTTCATGTTTGGATATTTCGATTAAAATGCTAAATTATTTTTCTAACAAAATAATTGACTATAAACAAAACTTCGGGGTTTATGATTTATTTATTTATTTTAACTTTGTTTTGCTCATTTAATCTCTTACGAGAATATTTTAAATACAAAATTGAATATTACAATTTTTTATTTCTTTAAGTAATTTATCATAAGCATTATTTTTTATGCAATCTTAATAAAATTATATTTTTTAAAATGGTCTGTTTTACTTATATATAGTTCCTTATTTAATATGATTGAGAAATCATATTTATTAAGTTAGAAAAGTCTTGTGTTTTAATTTATTAGAATTGAAATTACTAATTGTCTAGGTTATAAACATTGCTTAATTATGGCCACAATTTCAGGGCAAGTAAGTTGGGTTGGTCTTGACTTTAATGTATTTTTATTGTTTCCCCCTTTAATTATAGTTTAATATAATAATTATGATGGTATTTATTGAATGGTAAGCCGAAGAAATTTAATTGGTTTTTATTTAATAGACCTAATACTTTTCCAAACCTCAAGGCCTGAATATGGCCTTTTCGTTAACCCCGCACTTTATTTCTACAAAATTAACTCTAAATATTATTCTAGAAATTAAAATTTGAAAGTTACTTTTTTGAAATGTATTAAATTCTCTTCTACAAATCAAATGATTGCACTAGAATTTAAGTTCTTAGAATTTTTTTTTTAAAAATAATCAAAGGGTGCAAATAAAAAAAACAGGGATACAAAAAGAATTTTTCCACGAATATATATTATTTAAGTGACCTGGGTCTTTTTTAAAGTTTGATATACTGTATTACAGTTTTTATAAATTGCTTTGCAAGCTAAATATATAATTACTTTAAGATCTATTTAGATGAAAAAGGTGAACTCATTGCATAAATATTGTATAAACAACAATGAAATAATCATGACTCCTCGAGTAGACTTGTATTATTAGGTGATTCATAATATCGCACCACTAAAAAATACCAACACGTATACTTGTGATCCTTGTCATCGTGCTGTGCTATTATGGAGTAAAAATGACTGCGGTCAGTTACTAATACAAAGGTGATTAAATTTGGTGTGTTGAGAATGAGAGCAATATGAAAGAGATAAGACGTTGTTTTCTTCTTGAATCGGAGAAAAGAAAATGGAAGGAGATGTCCTCACATTTTTCTCTTTTCCTTTTCTCTCCTACAGCCAAACAAACGATATTTCATAAAATCTTATTCTATTTCTCTCAAAATCGTGTCTTCTTAATTTCTACAAAACTACTTTAGCCGGATAAAAGTGAAAAGAATCTCCAAAAACACTCCTTTCTTTTATGTTGCAGTTAATTAACGATTACAATAATCTTAGTTACATCTTATTGAATATTTAAATAATCTTTAACATGATTTTTTAAGATCATTGAAAATTTAATTATACTTTTAATTTTACAAATATTTTTAAAATAAAATCTTTCTACTTTTAAATACTTTAAATCAATTTAAACACTTTGTTAGTTTTTAGATGAAAGGAGAAAGAAGAATAAGACTTATACGATAATAATCTTTATTTGAAAATTTTAAATGAAAGAAAAAAGGTTTATAATTCTTCAAAAACTTTCATAATCTTATATTTTTAACCATCTTTCTTACTCCTTTCTTCTCTCGGATTCATAAGAAAGTAACAATACTCATTAATATTTTACTGGCAATTAAAAAGTTAACTTGAGTAAGCGGAATGAAAACGCGGAAACCAGCCAAACAGTTGGCTAATAGAAAATGAGGAAGTGAATAGAGCATGGAACACATGTAGAGCGAAAATTAAGAATTCCACAGCTTTCAATTTCTCTTTAGCGTCTTAAGAGTGTCTATGAAGAACAGTCACAACTTGTAAAAGTCATAAAATTGGACTATCATAATGTGTACCACACGGACCGTTTAATTATTTGGTCATAAAAGTCCACATTTGTATCGCAAACAGTTTCCCTGCGTTTTACGAAACAAACAACATTTCAGCTTTCGATGCTTGTTTTTCTTTTCTTTACTTTGTCCTTGTTTAACACTCAGTCGACACTAGTTAAAACCCCAATAAATAAATAATAACTGCATGCAAAGAGCTTGGTCCTTGCAAGTTGGAACACATACTTTTTTATTTTTTAATTCAGTAACAGATATTTAGTTTCTCACTTGGCCATAACTTATATGTTGACAAATAATGGATTTAGCTGGCAATTTGGCGGTGTTGGACTAATTTGCTACATGGTTTTTTTTAATGTTTTATATAAATGAGTGGAACATCTTTAAACTTCAAAGGGAACGAGGAAGAAAAAAGTGATTAAGTTTGGTTTTCCTAGAATCCTAGCTAGGATTTATAGCATGGTAGTGGTGTGGTGCCCAAAGGAGAGAGTGGTCTCAACTCTAAACAAGGGTTGGAGGTAGTCACAGCGATAACTACCGTATATGCAAAATCCTACGTAACAGGTAGAAACGTATATGTAGGTGCGGTATGTAACTAATTATAAGCCCATTAAAAGCTGACCACATCTACAACCACAAGGTTATCTTTGAAGGGTTGGAAAGAAAGACCAGAGTTTCAGAAATAAGATACGAGAAAAGATGGAAGAGACAAAGTATTAATAAAAAAATATTTTAATTTAAAAAAAATTAAAATGAGTCTATTAAAATTTATAAAAGTTCTTAAATACTCTCACACATTTTAAAAACTTTTTAAACAAGAATTTCCATAAAATATATCTTCATTTTTTTTTACCTTAAAAAATAGACTCTTAAAACAAAATTTAAAACTATAACTCAGTTTAGATATTTTTTTTAATAAATATTTGTAAAATAAAGTAAAATCTATTAATCTTTTTAAAAGTTAAAATCAAATTATATATGCACTTCAGCTTTGAAATGAAATATCTTTAAAATTAAGACACAAAAATTAATTTTAACTCATATTTTTTTTATAAATATTTATGAATAAAATTATGTAAATTAGCTTATGTATTCTTCTAAACCATCTAAAAAAACATACCAGTTGAAAGTGGCCCTTCAAACTAAAATGCAATCAGATCAAAAGCAAAGGGTTTAGAAAAATCTAACAAAACTCTCATGCATGACGTGACAATGACATGATCGTAGTGGTACTAGGATTTAACTTTCTTTTATTTTCACCCGTGAGAGAAAAAGGGCCAAGCAACCTAGCTGGCTTAATTTAATACATATCTAGTTATATATAATAATAAATTCCAAATTATTGGCCTCTTACGTACGAGAACTTCCAACCAAATTGTATTGTATTGACTTAACCGCAAGAACGATTCAATTGTCTTACTCACTGTCATGCAGTCGCCAATAATCCCAAATAAAGGGGACATTATATTAATGGGATCAGCACCGAATTGCTGAAAAATAATATCCCTTCCCCACTTCCACTTGCTCCCATTTTGACTTTATAGTTTAGTCAACTCAATTGAAATATTATTGCCCGTTTGAACTTTGAAGCATATAGAGAACATATATTCAAAACACCACCCATTGGTTACCTTTTCACATCTATCTATATATATATATATATAACCAAATATTCATTGACATTTCTTCAAAACCCTCCCGTTTCAAGTTAATGTAAAGTCACCCTGGCCCACCCATTTTCTCATATAGTTATTTTTTTCATTGCTTGTTCTTGATCCTTACCAATTTCCTAGCTGCAACTTGGTTAATTAATGGACGAATTTGCATTCTCGATGGACTGGGATTTAGAAGCTATTGTGAGAGGAAGCACTAGTGAAGCCATCATCATGGACGAACCATATCCTAATTTTTCTAATTTCTTTGATGAACAAGATGAAGCACTTGGTAGTTTTCCCGAATTCTCTGAAACCACGAGGGTTCTTGATGATTTGGAAGAGCTTTACAAACCCTTCTACCCAGTTTTGCACCCTCTTTCACCGCACACCATCTTTACAAGTTCCATACCTATCCCCAAAGAACCCGAAGAAGCCAAAGAAGCATCAGAGAAAGTAGCTCCACAAGAGTTGCAAGTTCCCGCAGCATCTAAATCTAAAAAAAGGTAGGTTATTTAATTATTTGCCTATTCAATCAAACACAAAATTTCATTTGTTTTACAGAAATTGTAAAGTAAATAATTTCATTTGTTATTTAGTTATTTCGATGCATATTAAAAGTATTTTTAGTTCTTCAAAATATATTTAAATTTTAAGTTCTATTATTTAAATATAAAAAACTCACACCATATATATATTATACACACACACCAGTCTTAAGAATACACTTCAAAAATTATAAAGGACATTATTTTGATGTTCATGAAGCATTTTCCTTAAACTTCTATAATTTTTTTGAAAAAATGGGGTAAGTATAGTGCAAAGCAAATAATGGCATGCATGTTATTGTTTGCAGCAAGAAGAACCAGAACAAGAGTGTGGTGAAGCAGGTGAGAACAGCAGAAGGTTTGGACGATGCATGGGCATGGCGTAAATATGGACAAAAACCAATAAAGGGTTCGCCTTATCCTCGAAGCTACTACAGATGCAGCAGTTCCAAAGGATGTTTGGCAAGAAAACAGGTTGAAAGAAGCCACTTAGATCCTGCTGTTTTTTTGGTTACATACACTGCTGAACACACACATCCTCACCCTACTCGTAGGAACTCTCTTGCTGGGACCACCCGCAAGAACAATTTCAATTCCAATTCCATAGTTGCACCTCCAACCACTCGTGACCAAAACACTTGTTCCTCAAATTCCTCAGTAGTAATTAGTAACTCTCCAAGGACACCTTTGGTGGTGCAATCCATTGTGACAGGTGTGCAACGAAGTAAGGGTTTGAAAAAAGAGGAAGACTTTCTTGAGTGGTTGGATGATATTGAAGGTGCTCAATTTGGTGATGGAAATTGGATTCCAAGCACAGATCTAGAGGAATTGGTAGGATTTGAGTACCAACAACTTGCACTAGATGGCTTTGGTGACACCTAGTTTCCTTAACGAATCTAATGAGTAGTGCAAGTTTGTAATTTATTTATTTTTTTCTCTTTTTACAAGGACAATGTAGATCCAGGCCTCCCTAGTGTCCCTCTTTAATCCTTCTCCTTTTCACTTTCTCACTCTTTGAGGATTTCCCATCTTTCATTTTCTCTCTATTCTCCATAGTTATTAGTGAATCTTTCGTTCTTCAATCCCAAAACAGGAAATAGAATTGAATATTGACCACTTGTTCTTATCCTACCAAAAGAAATTAAATTCTTCTGACATTCCTTTTTGGGTGATTTTATTATGATATATTTTGGTAAAAAGGGTTATTAACATATATTGAATTACAATCAAGTTGCTTTGGTTACAATCATGCAATATTTGAATCGCAAATGCCTCATCATACTTCAATTCAGTTTTAATCAGTCTCTTCTTATTTGACTAATATATAGTGATTCAACATTTTTATCGAATACACCAGTTGCACATGTTAAAAAAATATATTAAGAAAGAATAGAATTTACTACATTAAAACTATAAGCTTCATTTTAATATGTAAAAGAATATCATTTTTTCCTCTTAAACCTATGTACTTGATACACAAGATAAAATAAGATATCGTAAATATTTTTTTTCTAATTACTTGAATTTACAAGGGAGAGATGTGAAATACTGGGTTAAATGTAAGCATGTGTGGAAAATTTTACATTAATATTGGTATATTATTCCGAAGAAACTAAATGTCGTCAAACTTTGAACAAGTATGCAGTTTCATTTGCAGTATTAGATAGATGTATTAGAATAAGACAGAACATAAATTGAGATGAATTTCATTTCATGTTTGGTCCCTAAAATAATAAAAGAAACTAATTGCCATCAAACTTTGCAGAAGTATGTAAATTAATTAATTTGAGGCATCTGATAAATGTAATAGAATGAGATCTATATAACCAAAAATAAGAATTTTATTTTAAGTTTGTTACATTTTAAAATAAAATAGAATAAAACATAAAATTGAAAATGATATATTTTAATTTTACTGTAAAAAAAATTGTGAAGTCAAGAGGAATTGAACATTGCAAGAGGCTCTATTTTGTTCTATCCTTACTGAAATGTTATAAAATTTGCAAACATATACTTTGATGTGTTATATATATATAAAATTTAAAAATTAATTAATAATTTATCAATTTTCTTAACAAATGTATAATATTTTATTTAAAACATAAGTAAGTAGATCTTATTTTTTAATTTAAACTACATGTATTCCCTGAAGGAACTAATCCTGCTTGATGTAGGAACAGCTGCTACACTATATAGTGAAATTAATTCTTTTAGTAGAATTTTTTTATGTACACTGTGGAACCTTACTTAAAAAACACTAAACATGTATTAATTGAACCGATTCCCACCAATAAATAGATCCTATTTGATTAAATATTTACTCGTGTAAAATTTTGAATATATGTTTGTTAAGTTAGCATTTTGTGTTTAATGATTGGGTTAATAAAATTTATTTTTAATAAAAATGTTTAAAATATTATTTTGCGTACTAAGTTAGTATCAAGGGTTATTTGATTTTATCTCATGCATATATGTGTGTCGAAGAAGAAGCAGTTCACGGAATACTTAGTAATGTGTTCAATCCTTTTCTAATAATAAAACGTCTGTAGAAAAGGCTGTTATTCAACGGATAATATATCAATAATTGTTCAAATGGGTGTTTGTCGAGAAAACTGGGTGCAAACTGCAAACCATGTGATTTCATGAGGACTAGAAAAACAACACCAGAATCTCACACAAGTCAATCATTGATCTGTATTCTGTATAGAGATTATAAAAACTATACTTAATTCTTTCACTAAAATTAGAAGAACAAAAAAACACTTATCTTAGAGAGAGAAATTCCTTTAAAAAAAATTCCTCAACAACAGATCATATATATTAATTTTATTTTGAATATCTATCCTAAGCTATGTCCCTATTTTTTTTTCTCTCAATTTTTAATAATTTTTTTATATATTTACACTTTTTTTAGATTAAAATAAATATTTAGTCTTTATTGTTGATATTTATTTATAAATAAATCTCAACACCTAAAAATTTTAAATTTTAGTTTATATATAATTTTTTATATTTAAATTTATGTCGTTAGGTTATTTAAAGTAATTTTTTAAAATAATGTTATAACAGTTAAAATAAAATAAAACATTCGTACAGATGTTAAATCATATATAATTTTTTAAATATATAAACTAATTTATAATTAATTTATAAAAATTAAATATATTTTAACATTTGTTTTTTTTTTCTGTTACATTAAATATCACATCACTTTTTATTTCTTCCTTCTTTTTATCGCTTTAACACGTCAACGAAATATTTTGTAATTATTAATTCGCTCTAACGTGTAATGAGTGGGCCAGTGGGCCACCATTCCACCGACTGTCCAGCTCATTGCTGCCGACCCCCTCCCAACTGTGAAGGAGTTTCGATCGACTTTAAAAAAAAATAATTATTTATATTGCTTATAAAATATTATATTATTTAAAGTTATTAATTTTTATGATAATTATTTTGCATATTATATTTATAAAAAATTAATTATCAATAATATAAAAATATATATTAATAATATATTAAAATTAAATTCTTTTGTTAATAAAAGAGAAAGAGTGGGCTCATTAAAGTATGATTTAGTAAAATTAACAGTGAAAGTACTAAAAGAATAACAAAGAAGAAAACTTATTTAAACACGTCTCACTAATTTTGTCAATTTGACTGGTCTATTTAGATGTCTTCACTAAATTATTTCTTATATGTAACAAACTTTGTATATATGACCTATATGTTTCTTCTTAAAAGAAAACGTTAAATATATGTAATTGTGATAAGACAAATTTATGTTTGTAATTATATTAATTATGTAACTGAACAATATATAAATATATGTTCCATTAGATGATCTACACGAATTTATCCATATTCTTTCACTTTTCTCTTTCAACAGAAATTATTATGTAGGCATGATCTCAATGTGTAATAATCAGAACAAAAAGACAATACTCAAATTAACTACATGAGAAGCCGGAGTCCTGTACAATTTTATTTTTTTTTTGGGGGGGGGGGAGGATATGATTTCTGTAAAATTCGGGAGAGATCAAAGTAATTTTCTCTTGCTATATATATAAAAAGACTGCACAAGCTTCAGTACTGACTAAACTATGAAGACTAATTTTTCCCCATAAGTCTTCCGGGACTTCAGCAACTACATAACTTACTCAAAGCTAGTGACCAAATAGTCATTTTGAATAATTTTGTGATTATTTGGTCCCTAACTGTAAATAAGTTAACAGTTTCTATGGTGTAAGGCTCTCTATTTCCTTTTCTCAATATTTTACCCAAAAGATTGCCAAATCTATCCCAAGTTGCAGCAAGACCATTCAATTGGCTCCTGGTGCCATCAAGCTGATCTCAATAAATCCTCACAAAAAGTGTCGAATTGTACTATAAGAGCTACAATGAACACCACCTCAAATTGTACGCTACTATGAACTGAGAAAATATCTTCTCTTGCTAGTTGGAGCTGCTATACATGCTGAGGGATCCTTTCATGATAAAGCCTCGACTAAAATTCTGAAATCGTTGAAAATTTCCAGCAAGAATTTCAAAGAATCAGCATTATTTTATGCTTATAACTGAAAAGTGCCTAATTCATGACCATGCCTTGTAAGTAGTACTTTCCGGCCATCAACCCATTCTAGTCGATAGGAGAGGTCCAGATTATGAAGCAGTTGTTTCAAACTGTCAGCATGATTTGAATCCCTCGCATTATCCTAGAAAAAGAAATATAGGTAGCATTACATAAAAGGAGAAGTAGATTTATGGCAATAGTAGATATCTTAATGACCCGTAACGAAAGGAGGTGGTCGAAAGTAGAAAAGCTTTCATCTCAAGCTATTTATCATTTATATTCATGCATTTCGACCAATTGAATGTATTTTTGCATGCTTTCGGCCAACTTTCTATAAGACTTTCATCATGTGCTGAGTTAAACATTATAAGGAGATTCCAACTTAGCACTAAAGTTCTCCTGCTAAATATAAATTTATCAGCTATCTTCCCCTCAGGCATCAGTTTCAACCAAAAGCTGGGTTCTAGTTTCATTCGCTAGACATAAAAATAGTTCTCTGTCTTTATTGAAAACAGAAAAAAGTAAAAGAAAATCACCTGAAAGTTCAACTGCCTGTCAGTTTCCAAAATATTGGCCATTATGCTTGACCTGGATGAATTAGGTGAAAATCCTTCCCAAGGAGGAACAAAGATTAATTTGGTGCACTGGACAGGAATAAAGTTCCTGCTTAGTTTCTCCCACCAGAAAGATCCCAGTGACCACCATCTAATCAGTAACCCATGTTCAGAAAAAGCAACCAGCCCCTAGCAATAAAGAATGTTCAAGAAGTAGGAGGGAAAAAATATCAGTTTGAGATATATAGAGAAATCACTAATCTCAAAAAGATTACATAAGATTGCTTCTGGAGTTCAGAGAACAGTTTTGGAAAAGAGAAAAAAGAAACATAGGAGCACTCAAAAAGATTTAGGAAAAAATACAATATATAAGAAACAAAGGTTTTCATCTGGTTTAAATTGAACCAATCAAGCATGATGAACCTATATGGAAAGCGTACTTAAATCATAGAAAAATATAGTAAACAAATGGGTGTGGGAACAATAAGGCAGACTGTGGGGAAGTATGTTGCAAGGATTTTCCCTTGCTCTTATGTTACGAGTGGTTCAAGTATTTCTCAAAATTGATTTTATTAACCACATTATCATTATAAATAGCATTATAGTAATTAGTATCATATGGTCTGAAGCTAGCAACAGCCCTTATTTAGGTCACAGATAAATCAGAGTATATAGTTTGCCTAATATAACTAAGATTCTGGATAAGATCAAATTTTTACATATCATTATTTCTTTACGTGATGATCCAAAACCTACCATCTAGATCCACAGAACACCAAGCAGTCTAGGTTTTTAAAAACAATTGGTTGGTACCTCTCCATCGGGTGAAAAGCTCAGTGCTGAAATTGCAGTAGTCAATGTTCCTGCTGTCGCTGCTGTGAGCAGAGTTGGAAGTCCAGGAGGCCCACTTGCATCCAAAACCTTTATCATTGTCACACTGCATAGAAAAATGAAGGTTGTATGTTTTAGGAAATTATTATCTCTTCAGATATCACAGAGAGAAGAAACACAAGAAGACCACATTGTAAATCAGAAATTTCAAAAGATAAGCACAAAAGGGTGGGATAGAGAGAGAGAGAGAGAGAGAGGAAACAAGTTATAAATGCCATAATCATATAAACAGGGAAAGTAGTAAAAATTAAAAAAATAATTCTTTTCATTCTTGAAAAATTTATCTGTATCGTCCATAGCCTACCACATGGCATTAAATGGACATTTACCTTGAAGAGTACAATTATCAACAAACAAAATGACCATTCGGCTATTTAGGATACAACCAGGGGTGGAACTAAGCAGTAAGTACAGAACCACCAAAATCTCTCTTTTTTTCCTTAAATATCCTCAGTATTGTATTCTATCTTTCAAATTTTTAATTATAATTCCATCTCTTGTGATTTTTATTTTTTTGACCTTTCCACCCTGCATATAGCATTTAAATAGCACAAAAAGTATTTTCTCAAGTACATGCCAGACAGAACAATTGGAGGGTATCTACACATTGTCAGCCTAAATCCATTCTGAATTTAAAAATTACACTTTTATCTTGTAATCCTAATACCTTTGCATATCATAAACCCTAATGCTTGCAGTCTTAATTTCTCCAATCACATCTCCAACTGCTAGTCTGGTCCACGAATCATTGACAGCAACCATAGGATATACACGCACAACTTCCTTGAAAGTTGTCATTGAACTCTGAAAGCATGCCTTCCGCATGACTGAGTTGCTAGGATCTATAGTCTGTAAAATGAAGTTCACCACCTGCAGATCTGACCCACTGTCACAAAAATTCATGCTTTCATGTTTCAAAACAAATAAGCAGCATGAAATTTAAAACTTCAGGGCAGAGAAAACTACTAGCAGGTCCTATGTTGTGCATGATTCAGTACAAAAAGAAGATAGCCCCTTGAAATAGAGAATCACTCTGCTCCCAACCATCAAGAATAGAAACAAGCAGTATTAAGTGATGAAAGAGATAAGCAAGAACAAGAATTTTTTTACAAGACAGCAGGCGAATCCATACTAAAGAACTGATAACGAGATATAGACAAGATTCATTTTGCAAGGAATAAATATTAAATAATTCTAGCTGTCAATGGTAGCATACAGCAATAATAACAAAGCTTTTGTCACTAGATAGAGTCAATTACATGGGTCAAACAATGCAATAATATTTTGTCATAAATCATGTATATAGACAAATTATTAATGTTTAAACCTTTCTTAATCGTTTCACTCATACTTTTTCCCACTTTCCCTCTACCCCCTCCCAACATTAAACATCTGAGATCAAAAGATTATATATATATATATATATATATATATATATTTATTTTAAAAAAAATAAAAGAGACAATTTTAAAATAATAAATCATTATTATATAATTTATATCTCTTTCCAATTGTTATTTGGATATAATTCTCTCCATCTGATACATTGATGATCAGGTTAGTACTAGACTACTAGCAACAAGTAACTTCACAAAAAACAAACCTTGTCAAGGTATTGAGCCAAATTCTTGGGAGAACCATGCATAATCCTTATAAGAGTCAACAAGGACACCATGTGGACAGGTGAATCAGATGCAGTAGACCAAATTTGGCTTTCTATCACAGACAAAAAGCCAGGTATATCAGCCATAGCTAAAGTTGGAAGAAGAACCTCCACCAAAGTCTTTTTAATAGAAAAAGAGGCATCTGAAATTTCTGGCACTGATTTGGAAGATGGACCACTCAACTCTACTTGGAAAAAGACATCCCCAATCAGACGAGGAATCTCAGAGACAATGCATTCTTTCCATGTACTCTCCATGCCCTCTGCAAGGAGCTCAGCAGCAGTGGAGCTGTACTTCTCATTCATAGCCATAGCCAACTTCATTAATGGATGAACAACTAACATGGCAAGACATGGCTTTACAAGACTGGGGTACCAGATAGCCAGTGCAGCGGCAACAATAATGTGAGATGTCATTGCATCCTGACTTGTTCCACCAACACAAGAAATCCAATCTTGCACTTCAAATGATTCTAGCCAAGCAAGAATCTTGGATTGCTCATCATGGGAAATTCCTCGTTTTTCTGCCTTGGGAGATATGCTTTCTACTGTCATATTTCCTAGATGTTTGTCTCTACTTCCAGTTTTGGAGCTCATACTAGTTGACTTAGTAGGTTTTGAATTGCATAGAGGTAGAGGAACAGCATGAGAGGCAGCACAATGAAATATAGAGCGTGCAGCCATTCGTACATGTTCACTTTCATCTTGCCAAAAAGCCACCAAGAGCTGTAGAAAGAAGATATCCTTCAGAACTGATATCAAGTAATTGGGAAGTTTAATAACACATAATGCATAAGCATTATCAACCACCCATAAAACAACAATACTAATCCAGCATTGGAATTGATCTTTCTAGTAATATCACCTTATGGAACAATAAAATATAAATAAAAAAATGCTGTAGTAAAATGTTATGATGCAGCAAATAGAACAGACCAGACTGGCAGATTTTAAGCTATCTCAGACACTCAAGAAACACAGATGAAACTCCTCTAAAGTGAGTTGTTTATGAAGTGAAAAAGTAAGGGTGTATCTACCCTCAATTTTATTTAAGGTGCATAGTGATTTTAAGCCACTAATTTTTAAAGGCAGTTCCACCCTTACTCTTCCTAACTTTAGAGAGAAAGAGAAACTCTTTTGGAAGGAGCTTTTCCCAAGAAACAAAAGTTTATAATGCTCCAGTTTCAATGATTGATTAGTTATTTGTTTAGCATTAAAAATTTAAAAGCAAAATTTGTGTTCAAAAGGAAATTTGTGACAGAAACAAGAGGGATGATCAAAATATGAAGGCCACACAATTGAGGGTTTTCTCATGGTTTAACACATTTCCCCCAACTGTCTCTTTTCTAGGATTTAGGGAATTATTAAAGCAAAATGAATCAAGTTTTATGGGGAAGGGGAGAGGATTTATGTATTCTGTGCCAGCCAGCTGTAGTCTCAAAAGTATCTCACCATACCAGTACTTGATTATACATTGATTATACATGTTGGGTAAACATTAAAGGTTTAATTGCATTTTTAATTCCTTAGGTTTGGACTATAAGCAATTTTGATCCTTCATTTTTTTTAAAGCCAGCTAAGTCCCTTTAATTTTAAATTAAACAAATTTGGTCCTTTGTCAATTTTCTCCTACCTAAAATTCACAAATTTTCATTCTTTAACTGGAAATATTTACAAATTAAATTCATTAAATTGTATTTTGCTAAAAAAACCAGGACATCAAATTACACCAAAAAAAGAACTTTTTTCAAACCCTAATATCGTATTTTATGAAATCCTTCAAATTTTATCAAGTTTTCAATGATCTTCTAAAATAATTCCATATCCCAAATTCATCACCAAATCTTGTATAATTACATAGAAAATAATAATTTTAAGATTTAAAGAAGAAAAATTGATGGAGGGACAAAATTTGCCTAATGTTAAAATTAGAGGGACTTAATTGGTTTGAAAAAAAATTAGGAGACCAAAATTGCACATAATCTAAAGAAAGAGAAAGGAAGAAAGAAGGGTGTTTGTATTGAAAGTGTAGAACACATTAGGAAGAATCCTCTAACAAGGGTGTTCCTTTCTCCCCGTCTTGGTTTCAGTTATTTACCAAAAAGATGTGTTCTTATTATAATTTCCCCTATTTAACCACCTAACCTCCTAACTGCCCCTAAAAACACTTATAACTGATCCCTTACTATTTATTTCTTCTGGAATATTCCATCCAAGCCCTATTCTCCTTATTACAAGTTGAGTCATGCCTAACAGGGTATTATAATGCATCCCAATTTATCACATATTCCCCATAAGCTCACAAATAACATAGTACATGCATAAAATCTATTGAGATTAAAATTACTAAGCAACAAAAGCACTTTTACAAGATTCCAACCTGTAATGAAGGTGGCCTCACATCTGGAAAATTTTCCATAAAATTTCGAGTATAAAATGCTGCTAAAGCACTGCATATGATACAATCAATCATCAGCAAAACTTTTCCAAATTCTAATTGAGTGCATTTTGAGGAAAGAGAGAAAGAATAATGAATTAATTTATAATTTAAAGAATTCAGAATTAAGAAGAGAAATACACAATGTGAAATTGTGCAGAAACACCATTACCCAAACCATAAAAAACAGATTAGTAAGGGGGAAAAAACGTAAAAAGAACAACAGGAAAAAATGTTTGCAAGCATCATGAGAATCAGACATAAAAGACTTACTCTACCATCAAGCCTACACATAGTAAATATTTTATTCAGAAGAACTACAAAAACATCACCAACTGGACTCAGATGAATGTAGGACCCAATATATCTAGGTCCCACGCTAATCAGGGAATCTTTTTCTTGTTATTCTTTTCAAATTTTGTTCATTGTTTTTCTATATAAGAAGGAACATTTATATGTTGCAAGAAACACTTCAAGACTATATTAAGTTTCAAAGAATACCAAGGATCCACCTGCAAAACTTAAAAGAAACTGAGCACTAAATCCATAACACTGGGAACTATAAACAAAAAAGAATGGTTAATTCCAGTTTGTCAAGAACCTCAAATAGTTTTGAAACTTTGTAGCTTTTACAAAACATCTCCTCTGGTTTATAAAGCTTCAATTTAGAGTATGCTTCTTAGATGGTTCAAGTGTAAAAAAAGGAGTTTTCTTGATGGAAAAATATTAAAGCAAGATGTGATTAGATCTTCATTTAAAAACAAAATTGTGGAAGTACAAATAACCTGATTTGACCAGATTTTTTTTTCTATTAATGTAATTGTAACTCCTAGTGGCATAGGACTTCTGTTGTTGTTGTAATGCAATTGCCACAATACCTGCTTGCTGCAGAACTAGAGTGAGACAAGCTAATTAAACGCTGGGCAAGGGACACCATCGTCAATGACCTCATTGCACAAAACTCAGATGATGACTTCCAGAGCTGAAATGTGGAATTTAATGTCTCAGGAACTAATGAAATGAGTGATAAGCAAAAAATAAGTCCCAGAATACAGTCCAAATTACCTCAAAAATAGCACTCTGACCAGGAAATGTCAATGTCAAGGATCCTTTATCCCCCTGCAGACCACAAGCTACTATAAAATTTTCTGGTCTCCTCAGCTTCATGTCACTTATCAGCAAATTATCAAGCTCTCTGTCTACACTCCACAAATGTAGAAATGATAAGCTATATCGAACTAAGTATTCTTCAAATAGGCTAACCCAGTCGTGCCCCTCTAAAGTTTCCGGATTATGGTAGCCAGGATTTTGCTCCTGGACTCCCTGCTGCTTCAAATTGCTATTCATTGGTTTGCCACCACCATTTTCCATGGACTCGTTCTTTTGATAAGAGAACATCAATGAGGCAAGATCAAAACTCAGAGTAACAATCCCAGGGAATGGGCAAGAGCATTTGATAGGAAGCTTGTTACTCAAGACACCAATCAGAGGGGATGAATTTGGCTTTGCTGAACTTACTTTACCTGCATTTGTTTTGGAAGAATTCAGCTCAGTCATATTTGAAATATTTGGGGAAGACCTTGATGAAGTAAGCAAGTTCTCTGACAGACTTATGGGAGAGTTAGAGAACCTTGCATCATCAACTATTGGAAGAAGTAATGAAGAGACTGATGTATTTCCATTCAGCAAAGTACCAGATATGGAATTCATGCTGATACTTTTACAAAAATGATCAAACATTGAATGTGAAGCTGGTCCGCGTAAGACTCGCTCACGTGAACCTGTCTTTACATCCCAAATGTATAATACATCAGCAGCATCAGAAGTTCCATAATGTGTTTGACATAGACAGGAAATATAACCCCGTGCTCCATCCCATAAAACTTTTGAAGGATAGTTCATGTGTCCAGGAAACATTCTTTCCACTCGCAGAGTCTCAAGAGAAACAAGAGCAACACATGCATCTTCTCCAACTGAAAGAAAACAATCACTCCAAGGATGTGCAGTCAAAGAAGGGGGAAGAATAATTTGACGCACTGCAGCCACATGATGATGCATTACCATAATAAGACTGCCACTGTCAAGATTCCATACACGAACTGTGCAATCTGTACTTCCAGACAGCAAAACCCGTTTAAAAGTCGAGCTTTTGGCACTACCCATCATTTGATGTGCTGCCAGACAAAGTACAGCACCTGTATGTCCTAAGAAGTACTGTTTACAGGAAGTTGACTTTTCGTCAGGGTTGGAACTTACACCATCCAAGCAAATGCCTTGAAACAGATCAAATCTTACAACCTCTATTTCTCCACTTAAAAACCCATACACAACAGCATAAGGAGTAAAGAGGTTCTCAGAGATAATCATGGAAGAAGACACTACCTTCCCCTTGTAAGTATAATAATTGCTTAAGCTATCCACATGTGCATTGTCTACATCATCAGAACTTGGACTCACACCAAAAGTGGACATAGTCTCAAGATCATCCAGTCCCTTGAGCTGAGCAGACTTCTCAAACCAGTTGGTGAAAGATGCACCATCACTAATCATTCTGCATTGACGGTACAATTTACCAGGTCTATCATCAAAATGATACGGTGACCAAATCGTGACAAGTGGTCTCCATAGCAAAGGTTCCTCATAATGAAAGCACACTGACTTGATGCACACAAGATATTGATTTACTTGTAGGAAAAAGATAGATAATCTCATATCAGGTTGATAATGAGTAGCAGGAATCTCAGAATGAGGTTCACAATGAAAAACATCATTCTGATACGATATTTTATATATAATTGCATAACCTATATTATTCCACACAACAAAGTATACCGGAATCAAGTTTTCATGGGTACTGCCCATATTGCCCACATCATCACTCTCAAGAAAAATGCCACCAATAGCATGTGTTGGAGTAGAATGCCGATCCAAACTGAAAAAATTATCCATAAAAGAAACCTCTCCAATATTGCCATCACTAGAGAATAACCTAAATATGCAGCGATCTTTCAATATAAAAGCAACAAGGCTCCCATAGGTCAAAACTGAAATAACTTGCTCCACACCACTCAATCCCTCAGAGCAAATAGAACTTTCCAACGGAGCTTTATCTCCATGTGAACTCGTCAAACCCTCCCCATAATCACGAGGATCCTCCGACATCGAGACCATCTGTTGCTTCCCAGCTAAATCAGCCACAAACACAGAATTCCTCTTCTCATCATCACCTAACACTAGTGCCATAAACCTGACAGGACCAATGGATAGATTTCCATGAAACACAGTTTGTGTAATGGAAAGTGAATATGTGTCAACAATAAGAATAGTGCATTTAGAGGGTTTCCTAAGCTGTGTTTCTCTATCAATTAAACCTTCATTTCCTTCCACAGAATAATCCACAAAAGAACAAGCTATACACACATATCTCGGCGTCGAATTCAAAGTTTTAATTATACGAGGAGTGCCTACCCAGGGTGGCAATTTTCTCCTACACCGACAATGACCACTATTTTTACTCCACACACACAAAAACCCATCGCAACACGCACTTATCAACGCACTACATCTACTTCCACTTGAACCAATACCGTTTTGCTCTGCTGCGACGGGACAGCAAAGGGCGAGATTGGTGACCGGTGCTGCGTGACCACACAACACGCCCACTGCATTAACATGCTGCAAAATCAACTTCGCACTAAGAAATTGAAAAGAAATGGTGATTTGTTAATTGAAACAATGAGAATGGAAATTGAAATGGGGAAATACCGGTGTGGAGGTGGAATTGGAAGGGGAAAGGGTCCACCAGATGATGGAGCCATCGGATCCGGCGGTGTAAAATGTTGGTGTCGGTGGTCCGGTGAAGGCGGCGACGGCGGTGATATTGTGAGGGAAGGGCGTGCCTGACCAAATGCACGCCACCGATCTGCACTTCATTGATATTCAAATTCCCACTTAATTCATCGTTCCCTGCGTTTCTTTTATTAAATACTAACGTATACGAATATGTACTGTTAAATTACTCGACGTTCCGTTTGAGAATTTCGATCAACAAGTTTCTGTTTGATTCCAAGGGCTTTGGGTACTTGATTCGGACTCTTCCCGCACCAGCTACTGTTCCTTGTTGCCTATTAGGTTCACATTTTTTTTATATTTGACTTTATTAAAAACATGTCATTTTTATAAGTTAAAAAAAAAACATTGTAGAGAGATCTGTAGTGTTTGGGACAGTCATAAAAATTTATTGTAAAAATATTATAACTCAACTTTGAAAATAAAATAAGGATGCACTCGAGATTTGTAAAGGCTAATAAAAAAATTTTATTAAAATAATCTTTTTCTATCTCTTTCCATTACATCACTTATCAATTTTTCTTCTTCTCTTTCTATTTCTCAAAATCATAACAAAAATTATACAATTTCTTTTGTACCATTTCTCTTAAAAGTTTTCATCTCTTTTCAAGACTCCAAAAGAAAATAAATACATCTCTTTTGAACAGTGTTGCACGGTGACAAAAGGATACCCGCAAACGAGCATTGAGTATTTTTTTTCCTCTTTTTTTTTTTCCTCTTTTTTTTTAGTTGACACACTCCATATAACGCCGGTGCAATTATAAATTAAGGGTAAATTAAAAAACAATGGTGTCCATAACTGACACACTACTTGTATAAAAATTATATATGTTAAATCTTGTGTAAAAAATTTACAAATTTTTTTCATTTGTCAAAATTATAAGTCAAACATAAGAAACAAAATGTAAAATTATTATGTAAAGATGAAAAATAAATATTTTTTAAAAATTAAAACAAAAAACAACTCAAGATAGAATCAATTCATGAACTTTTTTTTTAGTAGTGACTAAGATGGGAAATTTAAAAAATTATGTAAGGAGACATGAAAGGGCCGAATTTTTGAATTTAACCTAAATTAAAATTTTCGCAACAAATAAGATATTCAGGATTTCCCCTTATAAAGTTAGAATCTGCATTATACATTAAAAAAAAAAAACTATTAGAAAGAAGAAACAAAGGGTAGGGGGTCAATAGAAGTCGCACAATAAAAAGTGCCTTTTCCCTTGCCACACTGTCTATAGTTATCGTTGCCAAGGAAGGAAGGCCTCATGCTTTATATCTTGTGAACCATGCCAGGCAGCATAACCATAAGCCTTTGACCTAATATATAGAGAATGGAATGCCTCCATCCAACTCGCTGACCTTGTACAGCTCAGAAATGTTAATTAAACCTTCCCACCCTGGATGAAAAGGGTAAAAGTGAGGTCATAATAAATTTCAAAAAGATTTGGAGCACGTGATAAGATGAAAAGAAGGCAGCAAGCAAATTTTCGGAAGACTTTTCTTTTCTTAAAATGTGAGATCAGCTACATAGATTATTCAACGTTATTAAACACGGTTAAAAATTAAATTTTTATAAATATTATTAACTAAAATGTCTAGTTTAATAATTTCATTTAAATTTTGTTTAGGTCTTCTCTTACCCCCTCTCATCAGACTAAAAGTAATACCGGAAGTTTTTCATACCACCAAAAAATTTCACAAAAAAGAAAATTGAAAACCTAAAAAATTGAGTAGACCGTAGTGCAAAAATTGTCACTCCTCAATCCCCTTTCTCTCCCTCTCCGCCTTTATTCATTCCATCTCTCATCGGTGGGCTTCACCAAAACAAAAAGTGGAAATCAACATTGGTAGACAACTTGGGCAACTTGAATATCAACAAACACCAGAACTCCCTGACCACGGGAAGGTGTAAACCTCATGAAGGGAAATTGCCCCAAATAGCATAGACATGTCTCTCCCATGCCCCCTCAGAACACAGGTTCTGCACTATAGGTTACTGCTCCAAACTCTCAAAACTGAATAGCCATGTGAGAAATTGGATATTAGGCTTACGATTCTAAGATAATAATGAACATTGATCACAAGTAAAGCCCCGAAAGGCTTGAATCTCTTGGACAATTAACTTTAACAGAAACATCATACATGGGTATTAACCTGATGATATTTCTATGAAGCCATAAACCTTGAAATTACCAGTTGTCTGTCAATGTTACTTGTAATGATACATATAGATTCACACAAATCATTTATCAATTACGTGCAACAACCAACTTATGTAATACATGGAGATCAAACTTCATATTTGCTAATAGGTAGACCTATAATTATGATACAGTTGCCTTCTTGATTACAACTTGAGTTTGTAACATCCTTGCATTAAAACATACAAATACATAGAACCATGTACATATATAGAAATGCATAAAGTATTAATGAACAAGTGCATGCCTTAAAATAACTCATTTTTTTACCTTATGGGGTGGAGTTCCTGGTCTTGATGAGTTGTTGCCAAATCCAATTTTCCCTTTCTTTTCAGAAGATTTAAGTATCTGGAAGGAGCATGTCAAGGTGTCATCCACACTCATCATCGCACCAGCATTATCAAATTCACCACAGTAATTTGGTGCGGAGAATATAGTCACCAGTTGACGCTTAGCAAAAAACTCATATCCATCTTCTACAACCTGAAACACAGCTCAGAATTTTAAAAGGAAAGCATCAAACCGGATTCATCAATTGATTACAAAGAATTAAGATCCATGAACCAAGTAAATGTCCAATACATCAGCATGGACAGACAAAAACCCAATACAAAATACAAGTAAATCAGAAGATAGGCAACTAAAGAAAGAATCATCAACAAAACAAAAATCGAAATGACCTGATATTTATGAAGTGTGAAAGCTGGTGATATGGAAAGGAAAATCAAGATGTTACAAGAAAACCAAGCATTAAACATAATAAATTCTCTAGACTAAAATAGTAATTACTAAGTGAGGTCAAAACCCAATTTCATCTTATCCTCATCCACCCTGTCTCTTTTTTATTCTTTGATTCCCAGTCATCATAATCAATCTACTCAAAGCATGTGATTATTTTTCATTTAACAATTTGAGTAATAAGTAGTAAGTTGCAATTTGCAATTTGCAAATACATCATGTTTTCCCAGTAGTAGTATATATGAATAGAAGTACAAACTAGTAAAAGATACTATCTATAGTCATCAATGGTCAATCCAAAAGTAGCAATAAAATGATAGAAATTGACCAAAATTCAGGTTTCATTACCTGGTGAGCTCTGCAAATCAGATCGAGATCATGTTGTTCAAGAAATTCAACAACCTTGTCAGCCCCAAATGTAAAGGACACACCTCGATCATTTTCTCCCCACCCATTAAGATCTTTATCAGGATCAGCCCATAGAAGGTCACAGAGAAGGCCATGATCTGGCACATCAATAGGGCGAGCAATAGTCCGTATCTGATCCAAGTTTTTTAGATCAGGTGATAGTCCGCCATGCATACAAAGGATCTTCTCATCTATTAGAGCGGCAACAGGTAGACAATTAAAGCAATCAGTAAATGTCTTCCATAGGCGAACATTAAACCTCCTCTTACACTCATCATAGAAACCATATATACGATTGATGGAAGCACACTCATGATTGCCCCTGAGAAGAAAGAAATTCTCCTTGTATTTGATCTTGTATGCTAAGAGTAAGCATATTGTCTCAATGCTCTGCTTACCACGATCAACATAATCTCCAAGGAATAAATAATTGGCTTCAGGTGGGTATCCCCCATATTCAAACAGCCTTAAAAGATCTGAGTACTGGCCATGAACATCTCCTGCAAATAAATTGTTTAAAACAGATGCCATCCAATAATTAACATCTATAGATAACAAGGTGATCAAAAACAAAAAGCAAAACCCTGAGGCTCTAGGGCTTTCAATGCCTCAACAAAAAGTAAACAACTAATGAGGCAAGGCATTAAAATTAGATAAGGAAAAAAAAGTAACAAATTTAATAATTTTAACATGATTTTCCATAATTCAACTACTCAAGCATAGCATTCATGCTTAAATAAATCTGAAAAAATATTCACGCATGAAAGCACGATAATAAGTTGAAAATGAAGTAAATGGAAGCTGCCGCAACCCTAAAAAAAATTCATGACAAATCAAGTTAAATGGGTAGGCTTTTGGAGGTTTTCCAATTATTGGCCATTTAAACCGAGTATCACAGAAATGTCATCAAGGCGAGCAACTTGCCAAAACCAGAAAAACACCATAATGCAGTGCATGCTTGACAGACGGGTCACCTTGCCAAAACCACAAAAAAGCACACACCAACCCCTTCTGTCGTCTAGCATCCGTCCCTTATGGCTCCCTAACTCCATATTATCAAATACACTGACATATAAACAACAAACTTATTGGAAGTTATTTTGCGCAACTAGTAACGTGCCTATTGTAGTAAAAGCTGTTGGTTCTGTCCAAGCAATTTATCCATCACGTCAACTCCTTGACATACAATTTCACATAAATGAAGAGTTAATAATTGTGCACAAGCAGCTGACTATCTCAGCAGTAGTAGTATCATGATCAATCACGCCTCCCTCTGCTCTCTCCCACTTTCTCCCACTAAACAGTCATAAGAAAACTAAACAAGATGCGAGCAACAACCCTAACTTCAGCACACCAACCTAAAGACCCATAGCGAATTCAAGGTACCAAAGAAGTTTCAAAAGAGGTATAACTAAGAGCTTTATTTTCACACCAAGACCTAGACATTCACTCAATTCTATTCCATGTAAACAAGGATGAAACATAGCTGTCTACCTCAAATCACAAGGGATTGTACGCAAGCCCTCTCAACTCCGATATGTAAAATTGAAATAAACAGAATCGCATGCCAGTTTTCTCAACCTTCTCTTTTCCATTCAATTACAGAATTCACACATCAAAATTCACAATTAACACCAGGGCAAAGAAAAACCAAGCAAGCACAGGAAACAATAAACACCAAGGGCAACCATGCATGATTTGTCACCGACACAAACAACCAATATTTTAATCAATTAATTGAAATTATCAAAGAAAAAAATAGATAAATACCACAAATCTTGATAGGAGCCTCGAGCTCGAGAAGATTGGGTTGACTGAGAAAGATCTCCTTGGAGGAAACACATAGTTGTCGGATTTCAGCCTCCGTAAGCTGCACCTGCTTCGTTGTTCTTCCGTTCTTCGCCGAAACAAGCCTTCGGATGATATCGTCGAGCAAATTCTCGTCCATCTCTCGAGAAATTCAGAAACCCTTCACAGATATGAAGGATCGGATTCTCCGTCTCAGACTCCAGAGAGAGAACGGTTTATGCTTTGCCTTTAAGATAAAGCAGAGAAAAAGAGCGAAAGGGTTTAATGCAAAACGCAAAAACGGGAGGAAAACCGGAGGAGGGAGAAAACGACGAGAGCGTATTGCTATGGCCGCCGTTTCCCGCTCGTAAATTGCATATGACAAACGGAGTTTATAAAGGAATCAACACTAATAGTTTTGTAGGCATGTACTCTTTTGGTTTGGCGGAGGGGAGTGGCCACTAAGAACCCTACCCTAGTTGGTGACAAGGACAAATACACCTTCATATTGTGTATATGGAAAATGAATAAAAACAATTATTAATAATCAACTATATATAAAAATAATACCTTACTTTCCTTTCCCATATATACATTTCGGAATCCTCAACCCTATCTCAAAATTTAAGCCCGTGGGACCCTCCCCTCGCACGTGTAATTGATCGCTAAATCATCTCATCTACCCCTCCTCTGGTTTTTTCGTGCTTCCATTAAGCAATCTCTTTTACCCCACCGTGCGATCATCACACTGTGACGATCATAACATAATGAATTGAAGATTGTGCTTCGTGTTCATAATGAGAGAATTACCGGGAAATATCTACAATCTTTGTTCTTCAAATTTAAATGATAAATCATTATTTGGTGTTAATAGTTTTGCTTATTTTACAATATTCTTTTCATGAATAGATATTGGTCATTTGTACCAACTTTACCTATGGAAGGTTTTTAAAATAGAATTTGAATCATTTCTATGCAACAATTTAAAATGGTTAAGTTTAGAATTAATTTATTTATTATCTTAAATTTATAAAATTTAATAAATATTTGTTTTTTAATAAATTTTATTATTATTATTTCTTTAAATTTTGTCATAAAAGTTGAAGTTAACTTTTTTTAAATTTTATATTTTTATCTTTTATCATACTTTCAAATGAATAAATAAAATATAAATATTCATATTTTTATTATAATTTTTATACATTAATTACTGTATAATATTTTTTTTAAAAAAAATTTACTGTATAATTTTAAATTTTTTATTCAATACTACGTTCTTTAATAAGTCTCTTTTTCATTTTTTGTTAAAATTTATATTTATTTTGAATTATAATAAAAGTGCAATAAATGTTTCTCTTTCCTATAAATTTTTATTATATTTAATTGTTTAAACCTAGTTCTTAAAAAATTCACTTTTTTATTTTATATTTATATCTTTTTAAAATGTGAGTATTTAGTTTTTTAATATTTTGATTAAAATATTAATCTTCTGGTAAATATTTATTTAAAAATTAATTTTTATAATAAAATTTTATATTTTAATTTTATACAATTATTTTTTAATATATTTTGTCTCTTTCATCGTTGTTAACAAATCTTAAATAATGAAGACTAATTTTAAATTGTGTACTCAGATAAAAATTAAATTATAAATTTTGAATTATAGAAGTGTGTCATGTCTATGACTAAATTTATAATTAAAAAAAACTTATATTATAAGGATAGATCTCCAAAATCATTGACTAAATACTCTTTAAAAAAAATACTAAATAAGTGAATAAGTATAAATTTCTAACCTAATATTATATCAATTCCTCAGGTTTTTTTTTGTTTGAAAGTATATATATATTTATTTTAAAATTAAGCACCTGAAATTAAATACTCGATATCTTTAATTGAAATCAACAATTACTTTTATGCATTAGTTTAATTTATAAAAAAAAGTATGTATTTACTTCACCTAATAACAATTTAATGTTGTTACTTAGATTTTATTTTATTTTTTTATCTTTGAAATATAGGGTGAGGATCTTTTGTTTTTATTCAAGCTATAATATATTTCTTACCTTTGTATATTTTTATTTATAAACAAAATTAAATTTTAAGAATCATTCAACGTGCAAATTAATTGGTAAGAAGTTATTTTATGAAGATATTTAATCTAAAAAATACTTTAAAAATATATTTTTTTATTAAAAATTTTAAAAATAGACTAGATTTTATTAGTTCTTTTGTATTAAAATCTAGTTCAAACTAATAATAATAAAATATATTTTTAGTATTAAATATTAAACTAGTTATAATTTTAAATCATAATAAAGATAAATAAAATTATTTTATACGTAGTTATAATATATAAATTTTTATTTATTTAATGATATTTTGGAATAAATTTTTAAAAAATAAACTAAAAAAATCATTAAATAATTGATTCAAATTAATGTTTGCCCAAATTTAGCTTAATTTAACTATTTTTAATTAAATTTGTTTCCGATATTTTTTTTGAGTTCGTCAAATTATTTATCTGACACTTCTTCCTTCGATCAGTCAAGTTAGCCAATTTAATTTGTTTACGCAGTTTTTATAATAGTCACGCACACCAAAACAATAATTTTAATATTAAAATTTTAAAACAGAAAATAATATTTAATAAGAATTTGTGATATACATATAATATAACTGTAGTAACTAGTTAATGCACATTTTCAATTGGACAAGCCCTTAATAATATTAAATAGTTTTGAATAGTGAACCTGAATTCTCTTTTTTTTAATAATAGGTGAATAACATACATATTATATATTTATTATTTCTTTAATGAGATTTTAAATTAAAAAAATGTTTTACTTAAATAAATAAATATGTATATATGGGCTTAAAAAAGTAATAATTTATTGTAATATCCTTATCGTTTATCATCTTTCTTTCTCTTTTACTAAAAATAATATTATTAAATTTATGTAACTATTTTCTTAAAAAAAATTGTTACTTATCACCTCATCGTTTATATACATTTAATTAAATTAAGTTAAAATACATAAATGATATATTTTAATAACATAAAATTTAAAATTAATTAAAATTAAATATCTTTTACCGTTGTGCATTCACAATTAAAAGACCAAAATTTATAAAATTAAAGGAAAATATACATAAAATTAAAAATTTTAAATTACTATGTTAATCTTAAATTACTATGCCTTTAATAATTAAAACTCTTATATAAATTAAATTAAAATTTTACCATGCATATCTATCTAAATTATTATCAATTTTTTTTTAAATATAGTAAATAAATTTTGAAACCAAAATAAAATAGACTTTTGTCTAATAAGCTTTTACAATTTTAATAAAAGTCAATTAGATACTTTTATGACATTTGTATAATTTTTTTTTTAAGATATTTAGAGAATAAATAATAATTTTTAATTTATTTATAAAAAAAGTTGAAATTAGTTGTGAAGTTTTAATAAGTTATAAAATAATTTACTAATTTTCAATTGTTTGATATGTTTGCCATTTTTAGAAATAGAGAAAGAAAAAAAGAAGAAGAAGAAAGAGGAGATAGAGAACAAAATTACACTTTGTTGCTTCAAAAAGTCAATAATTTGAGGAAGGGTGGACGGGTACTGTGATGTTTTAATTGTTATTATTATTCCATAATATTAAATTATAAAAAAGAGTTACATTGAAAATATATTTTGTTTATTAGATTAGTTTGGCATAATTATCATAGATAATATTTTAATATTATTTATTTATTATTTTTTATTCATTAAATAAAAAATTCTATTCTTTTACTTTTTATTTTTATTTATCCAGATAATATATTATTATTTTTCATTTTTCATTTTTTTTCTTTTAATTCCATCCTACAATCAAAATATAAGCGTCAACCTCAAAAGAAAAATAAAAAATCAGTTGACTAAATTAAATGTAGATTATTCCTTAAATTTTCATTTACAATAATTAATTTTTTATTATCTTATGTCCTTTTCCTACTATTAAATTGTAAATTTTTCTTTTAAAAAAAATGTAAACTTGTTAGAGTATTAAAATTAGATGATTAAATAAATAAGATTGTTGTTAGAGAAGAAAAGTAAAGTAAATATAAATATATATATATATATTAATTAGACACATAAAAGTCAAAGGATCAATATAAAGCAAATAAAATTTAAATAAAAAAACAAGCGACCTATTGAATAATTTTACAAAACAAATTTCAAGACTATGTGAACCGTGATATTGATGGATATTGCTTTTTTTTTTTTTTATAATTTTGTATTTTTTGCAATAAATTTTATTTTATTTTATGAACTTATCATTTATTTTGTGTTCCTATTCGAGAAACACTAATCTTCAAGTCTCTACTTGGATAGGGTGATATTCTTCCTTATCTTGCTGACGTTACTTGACGTAGAGAGGATATCTGTAAAAGACACTCCGATGCTGAAGTCAAGATTCGGTTCTGAATAATAAATGTTATTTTATATTAAAAAGTTCCCATTTTATCTGTACTTTCTAACTTCCTTTTATAGACATTGTTATGGGCTAATGAACTTGCTGAGTCAACTTTGGTTTTGGCTTTTTAATTAAAGTAGATAATATTTTGATTATTACCCTTAATTAGATTAATTACTTTTTAATCTGACAAAGGGTATTCAGCTAAATTAGACCGAAGGGATACTCGGTTACCTTTTCCTAAAGGTAAGACCAAATAGTGCCCTATCCAGTACATTTTGTATATATGTTTCTTAATTTTTAATTTTTAAAAATTTCAATTTCTTATTTAAAATTTTATAATTTAAATACTTAATTTTTATTTTTTAATAAACTTTTAATTTATTTTCATGTGTGCATTTTTTTCTTTTTATGTTTTTAACCTTTCAAATTTTATTTTTTTATTTCATAGTTATTTTTTTTGTAAAAAAAAATACGTTAATGTATAATAAACCATAAATAATAATATTTTATTTTATTTCTTTTTAATATTAAATAGAAATATCTCTTCATATAATATTTATTAAATCACCACCTAATTAACTTGTGATATTAAATTGAGTTTGCGAATATAATTATATTAAAATGTATTTAAAAAAATTCCATTCATAGTTGACATAAACGGTAAAAAATTTATATTAATTTTGTGTTTTATAAAAATTTATGGACTCATTTTATTTAATATAATAATATAACATGTTAGTGTTAAAAAATTTAAGTTTTTTTTTTTTTTTTTTACTTTTGGAATTCAATATACAAAGTAAATCTTTTAATGAACCCATGATTTTCTGACATGTCGTTGGATTATTTAAATTTTTTACACGTACTTTCCTAATAGAAAATTATTTAAAATGCTTAAATGAAATTTTTTATTTAAAAACATTATTAATATACTTATAATAAATTTTTATTTATCAATGTTTTAATTAATATATTTTAAATGCTGACCAATGCATTAGGTTTAAAATATTTTGACCAATTAAGGTTCACATGTCATGCTTCACGATTTGTGATTTTGCTACCGACACGTCCTCCTGATGACGCTACTCGTGGTTTGAATAACGCGTACAACAATGGATTTTTTTCGGTACACATCGTGGTTTTATTACTTTATAGTTGTTTGAGGGTAATCTTGTAACAAATATTAATTCTCAACACAACGGTAAAATTTAGATATTTATGTTATTTAATAGCATTTATAAAGTATAAAATTTATTAATTATAAATAATATATATTATTAATTTATTAATATTTATTTATAATAAATTATATGTTAAAAAAAATAAGACAATAAATTATATTAAAAAGGTGAAAAGTTTTATTATCAAAAGTAATTTAATTTAATTTTTTAAAATAAAATATATGTCATATAAATTTTTTTAAAATATATTAATTTTTTATATTTATAATACATTATGTTCAAATGATTCTGTATGTGTTTACTTAAAAATTTATGCAAAATATTATATAGTGTGTATGAAATTTAATATAAACAAAAAAAAATAGAGAATAAAATTATAATAATATGGTTTATAATAATTTGAATAATTTAATTTTATTAAAAAATATTATTTTTAATAATAATGTGTTAAATGTACGTAGAATATTTAATTTTATTAAGTACTATTTTTAGAAGTGAGTTATAGCATACTTTTGAAAAGATTGATTATATATATGAATTTGATTAATGGTTTTTAATTTTTTTTTTAAAGTTGTAAAGATTTAGAGTATTATTCTATTTTAAATTTATTTTTAATAAAATATTGATATTATAAAAAAATATTTTTTTATATTTTATTAATAATATAAATTTCTAAACTAATAAATAAATTAATAAACATTTTTTTCATATTTTTTAGCTTGCATTTAATATTGTATAATTAAAAACAAAACTAAAATGATTAAATAAAATAATTTTTAATTTATTTTAAAAGAGATTCCATTCATTAAAAATTAAAGGTATCAAAATAAAAATTGTACAGATTAGCCCATTAAACCATCTAACTTATTATTTATTAGTAATTTTTTATAGTTAATATAAAACTATTATTCTAATATTTTTCATTTTTTTATAAATATTGTTTAATTTTAAAGAAATTAACTTATCAATGTACTTTATAATTATTAGAGTAATAAATATCATATATTGAAAAATATTTTAATATTCAATATTTATTGTAACTCAAACTCTAGATTATAAATTAAATTAAAATAATTATTTATGAGTTATTTCTTATTTTGGAATTATATATTATTATTAATTACATATATAACTTAATTATGAGAGATAAATTTAATCTTATCAATTTCTATATCATTTATGATGTTGATTATCTAAAAAAGTCAATATTTTTAGTCATAAATTATTTTAAACTCTGTTTTTACCTGATGCATTAGGTATGTAAATTTTAAAATTGTAAAAAGTAATATTATAAATCATGTCTCTAATTGTTTTTTATACCATTGAACCTGTATAAAAATTATTGTATAACATTAAAAATAATTGTATTTACATCTGAAGAAAAAGGACAGCAGTGGTAATAATCTGATAATCTGTGTAAAAAATCAACGTTAATGTATAATTACACTAATCGATCCATGAGCAAAATGGATAATGCCACGTCAAGAAAGTAAAAAAACCCTCAAAGAAGAGAAGAGCGTGTCATAAAAAATAATGTGGGATTGCCCTCACCGGAATATTCCCTACCGACGGAACGCACGAGACCATTTCCCGAAAACTATATATAGCGAACATTGAATCCCAAAATTTGCCCTAGAAAAGCTTCACCAGCCGCAACATGCTCCTTCCTACCAAACACTCACACTCTCTCTCTTCATCACTCCAAATTCGTGACTACACTCACCAGATTCGCGAAGGGGTTTAGGGTTTTGTCCATGGATGCTGTTGAATTGCCTTTACCGGTTGATGTGGCAGCCACACCCAAATTGATGGGATCGGAGGGTTTTGCTAGAGCCAAGGAAGTTATCGTTACCCATTCGAATTCAATTGACTGCTGCAACTCTCGTCTTATCCAAAATGGTTCCTCACTCATTATCCTTGCCCTAATTTTATTTTTTATTTAATTTAGTTTCTCGTTTATGCTACCGAGTCATCTTTTTATACCCTTATCTTAATTTGTTGGTTATTACTATATGTATGTATGTATGTGTCGTTAGCTTTGTGGTTTTGGTGATTTGATCTGTGCTATTCTGTTGTTTGTTTGCTGGTAACCTTGACCATTATGAGATAATACGAATTTCTAGGATGGGAAAATTTAATTGCCGAGACAAAATTGCCTTTTTCATTTCATTTAGGCATTTAGCTAATCCGTGCCCTTAAGTAATCAAAAGTATATATTTATGGCTAAAAAAATGTTATTAATGCACTCAATAAGATCCTCTCTTTTATATAATTCATGAATCCTTCTTGTACACTGACCAGGATATCATAATTTTCACATCATTATGAATGAAAATGAACCTAGTGGCAGGTACTCCAACTGCAGCCATTGTGTAAGTCTTACCCATTGTTGATAATATCCATTGGATATATAACTGAATGTTGAAGTTGATGTTGAATATGAGAACTTAATTGACGGATGAGGAACTTGTTGGAGTATATATTTGATGCATGCAGTATATTTATGTCAGTTAAGTGTTGGGAGAATTCTGCTTAGTGGCAGAGATGCTCACCCTCTTTGCTCAATGCTGGGATTTGTGTCATTCCCAAGTTATGTATTGAGATTAAACCATTGTACTTCTTTTGCACTTCACAGTTGTTTAGCTTTAAATAGTTGTTACTATAACTGTCTTGACTATTCATTCAATGGTATCTGATATATGTTTTATGTATGCATGTGGTATTGGTTGACTTGTCTTCTTTTGGGTTTGGATTTAGCCTATTAATTTTAGGCTTCTTAACTTTTATATTCATAATCTTTTTGTGCTAGATGTTGCAAATATGAAAAATGTGGCTGAGTTTCCCTCCTGTAATAAATTTATAGAGACTCAGTTCTCTAAGAATTCTTGTCAGCTGCCCCAACTCAATGGTGATGATTTGTCCAAAAATACACCTAGTGGCAATGACAAAAGTTGTCCTGTAATTACTTCCAGACTGGAAGGTGTAACATTACAACGAAAAGCAGCAAAATCCAATAGAAGTAATAGTTCATGTTCAAAGAGGCCACGGATGTCCCAAACAGAAGATTCTGTGAGCCCTAATGGAATTGAGGAGTCAAAGGATATTTCTGATAGATCACATAACTTGAAGTGTACTTCTCCAGGTATTTTCCCTCCAAACAAACCATTGAAGGCTTTTTATATATCTGCTCTTAACTTTTTTATTCTCTGGATTTTCTTTTGGTGTAGAGAAAAGTCAATTACCAAAGCAAAAAAGCAATGCCAGCAAGCGAGGTGAAAAGAGGAATTTTAAAGTGCCTTCTGCAAAGGCTAAATTTGAGTCATCCTCTTTGAAGATGGGTGCATCAATCTTCAGTTCTACCTGTGGAGGGAACAACTTTTTTGGTATGTAATGTAAATATGCAATTACTGAGCCTATTTTTTTGTCTTTCTTCATAAATAGGCAAATATGTATTTTCCCTTTCATCATGAACTTTTTTTGCCATGTATTTATCTACTGTGCATCTTGCATATTATGATTGAATGATAGCCGTGAGCTCATTTAACCTGTTTGATATCTGATTTAATTGTTTGTATTTAGCATTAACTATTTGAAGTTATCTGACAATTCAGGTCATTTCATTTATAATTTGGGACAACTCATCTGAAGTTATCTAGTTGACTATTCTGCTGCATGGATATCCATTGTGTATTCTTTTTTAAAAACTAAGTTCATGATGTAACTGAGGCTTTGTTTTTTCCACTGTGGTTGTGATGATATTGAAGCCAGAAACGGGTCTTTTTGATTATGCACACATCCAGCTTAAATATGAACTGCAGTCTTCTTACAGTAATGATGATATATATAACAGATATATATCAACTGCAGTCTTCTTACAGTAATGTCTTGATTTCTCAAGAATTACACCTTGTTACATTATTATTCTTGAATCTTGAGTTCAATTTCATTTTGGTTATAATTGTGCCACAGTGGAGGCAGCCTATTAATGTTCAGTTCTTTGAGCTTTTAGACTCTAGATCTAGAGTGTTATTCATTTTTCTATGTAATTATACTTTTTAACATTAGTTTCTGAACCATCTTTTTATGTGAGCATATCAAAATAACAGCTTCCTAATTATGTGATATTATATCAGTTAGCTATATGCCTGATAGTTGGTACCTAACACTTGCAGCCATATATCAGCAGATGACATTTTTTCTGACAGCATTAATCTATAATCTAAGCAACAAATATACTGTTTTTGTAATGCTTCAAGAGTTTAAATCTCTGCTTCTCTACCAGAATACTTTGTTTCTTTTATGCTTTATAGCTGTGATTATTGAGTAGTGCTTAAATAAATTTCAATGGATTTTTTTGGAAACTGTTGCCAGGGTTATATGGTCTGAAACATGATTTTCATGATGTTACAAAGCTTATGGATGAACCATCTTTAGATGAGCTCCTTAAGGGAACTTTTAACTGCCCCATTTTAAGCAAAGATAAAGGGAAGAAAACTTCAAATATGAATGAAAGTTTCTTGAACTTAGTTAGAAAGGCATTCTCCATCCTTCAGTTCCCAAAATCTGTTCGGTCCCAAAATATGACTGAGATGGATTACTCCTCCAACATGAAAATGTCCACTTGCCAATTGAGTTCAGTCTGTTTAGCAGAAAGCGTTGGTAATGGGGATAAAGAGCAGTCTTGCACAACAGATATGTCTTCATGTCAGAAGGTTAGTATTAAATGTTTCAAGCATGCAATCATTTTTGGCTTTAATAAAATAAAATATGAATTTTAATGGGTTATTTGATATATTCAACATAAAGGTGCACCATCAGATTTGGTTTTTCTGTCACTAAAATTTTTTGATGTCATGTATGCCTATACTAATTTGTTTCCACTTATAATAAAAATGCATAATGTTAGTATGATTTGTACTTATTAGCACTTGACATCCAGGATCCTTGTAGTGAAACGGAAAGTACAGCTAGTCCACTTGACCTCCCATTACGTCAACCTAAGGATATTTTGGAACAGATTGCACTCCATCCATTCCGGGATTTGGATTCCTTGCTTCTTGATGTGTCCAAGCTTGCTATTACCACAAAGAATAGTAATGACCAACGTTCAGGCAAGCAGGTGTCTCGTCGGCCAAGCTTGCCAGCCTTTCCATGGTCACATGCTTTTGGTGGCCATTCTAGAACTAATTCTGACACAGTGAAGTTGTCAACAAGTAGAAGCTCATGCCAAGGTAAATGGACAAGGATAGGTTTCGTTGCTAGCTCTATAGATATTGATCGCAGTTGCTTCACAAACCTTGATTCATTCAGTTATGATCAGAGCCTGGTTCCTTCGTCTTGTAGTTCAGACAAAAGAATTTTCCCTTCTTTATTTGCTAATCTTCCTTTCCATCAGTTGGATTCTTCTTCTGTATCATGTTCTGAAGATTCTCAGGTTAAAGCAGGTAAAACTTTTTCTTAAGCTACCTGAGTTTGTTAATGTTTATCTATTCTTTCTTTTTGTCTTCTCTCTCTCTCTCCAAGTCAATTGACCGATCTCTGTCCTGAAAATGCAGAATTTGGAGGCCAAATTGATACTAAAGAAAATGGTATGGTGTTATTGAGAACAACACATCTGTTGCATGATACACCTGCTTGAGTATTTTGTACATTTATTATTTTTAAGCTAAAGAAATTACTGATGTTGCTATTAACAGCAAGATCTCCTGCTAAACATTTTTTGTTTGTGACAGATGAGCGTTGTCCAAGGATATTAACTGCTGCACAAACACTGTGTGAAATTGCAACTAACTCACCAAGGCAGAGCTCAGATGGAACTTTAAGATGGCAAAGAAAAACTTCGCATAAGACCATGAAAGCTTGCTTTTTTAAATCAAATGAGAAACTTGAAGAAATGTCTTCAAGACAGACTTCAGTGGTTGGATCTGACATGACGGCCAAAAGTGTGGAGCAGATAATGCCCTCAAAGAAGCCAAGGCTTTCTGTTGTCGAGAATAAGAATAGTGGTCATTCCAATAACATTAAAAAAGGACCCTATGCGTGGCCTAGTTCAAAATCAAGTAGATCATCATTACCTAGTAAACAAGTTAGGGACTTGTTTGTAGAAAACAAACGTACAAATGCCAGCATCTTGAAGCAGCATTTTATGATGCCGCCACCTGCAAGAGATTTGGATAAAGCTTATGATGGTCAGCAGCAGGTTGGAAAATTAGTAGTGATGGATTGGAAAAGGGGAAGAGAGAACACAGATTGATCATACCATTATTGACTGTAAACACATCAGCAGCTGACAGCTGTTGTGTGATTAGCAAATGTTTAGGTTAGTAAAAGGCGACTTTGTACATATTATGTTGTGGCTGCAAGCCTGTGATGAATTGGATGCTAGTGTTCATGTTCAAGGGCAAACATGATTCAAATGTTGTAACATTAAAACAGGTGTATAAAACAGCAGAATTCTTTGCTTACCGGAGAGTATGAAGCAATAGCGAGATGAAGTTCTCTCATTCATATGCGTGTGTATCTTCTATGAACTGCATGCCCGCTATCATTCTATAGCATGCTTCTTATACTGGTCTTTCCTTAGGTTATTACTAACCCAGCAAGTGCTGGGTCATGTGTATGTATGACTTATAGCAGTGCCCAATATTTTCGTATTGCCCTGTTGTATAAATATGGTAAAACAATAGATTACTTTGCCGTGCGTTTTGTGCTCCTGGGCAATGCATGTTGTAGTCTTTGTTACTTAAAAATTGAACTGAATGTATTTGTTCATTTTAAGGCGTTTAAAGCAAGGACGTCGTCTGGTGTTTTGAACTGTTTGCATACTCAGCCTATTGAAGCATAGGCAAGAAAGAATTCCATTCCTAAGATATACTTAAGAGATATTAAGTAGTTGACATTTCAATTTTTTTATTCATTATCTCTCCCATGTTGATTTACAATGCCTTTCCACTAAAAAGGGGTGCAGATATAACAACTGGAAATGTGCTCTACGAAGAATATTATGAAAACATTTGATCCAGTAGTAAAACGAGTGCCATGGCAAAGGCAGGATCAAAACCAGGTTGAACAACTAACTGAAAAATCTCAATCCCAAAAGAGACGTCTTTGCTATTTGCCTGCTTTCTCTTGATTTCAGCTACGGCCCTCTTGCAATCATCCAACACCTTACACGTCCTATGTGCATAGGAACCTTCAACTGTAAACGCCGCTTGTCGTTTATCTGAATCCGAGGCCACGCGATACACGTATGCCTGAACCTTGGGATTGCCGTCTAAAATATTCACACGCTTTCTCACACAACAAACTGGACTCTCTCTTGACTCACCCACTTTACTCCTCCTCGTACTCTGCTTCCCCATTTCCCCTTCATACACAAACCAGCTATCCACAAATCCTAGCTTCTGCAATCAAATCAAAACGCGATGTCGTCAATCATGCCATTTATAAAACCATAAAAAGCTTTTTATATAATTAACAGAAAAAAAAAATACCATCTACAAATTTTAGGATTCACTTGCAAAGTGAGAAAAAGATCATTTTTTTTGCACTTTGTAACAAAAAAAAAAAACGTTTTTTAATAAAAAATAAATAAGTTAGATTAATTTACCTTCACATCTAAATTATATTCAACGGTTTAAAGTTAATTTTTTCGTCTTCAAATTAAACACGTACTTAGTGTAGTAGAACAATGGTTGTATCCCATTTCTTCAAAGTGATTTTCTACCATTTTACCGTTTCTTCCCTTGCTTTAACCTTAGCTATAGGCTTAAGGGGTACTTTGAAAAAGTAATAAACTTAATGCATTAAAACATAGTAAAAGAAGAGGAAGGGTATGGCATATAATATCATACTCTACGGCGTCGCATGGTGAGGACAGAGTTTCCTGAAGCGTCCATAAGAATGACTTCGTTGGGGTGGACGATGTAATTGTCAACCCTATACACCAAGTTTCCACATGAATCGATCACCGTAAATCCGTTACAATTAATTACTAGGGATTTTCTCCAAACCGTTAACGTTAGAGACGTGCACAAACTTGCTTCTGTTAAAGGGTACTTGTTTCTCTCCCCATCATGCTCCATCTCTTGTTCTTCATGCACTGCTCTTGACACAAATTTGAACCTAGGAAACACCCTCATGGGTCTCTTCTCTTTCTATTTCCTTCCCTTGGTGGTTAACACTGTCTAGCTAGTTACCTAGATTCTGTGTTCAGTAGAGTTTTTTAAAGGGGTTGCATTATATTTATAGAAACGAGGTTTTGGTGTTTACACCACTTTGTATTTGACACGTTTCCGACGAATAAAAAATGTGACTAAGTTGGTCTACAAGTCTGCTCCTAGGACCAAGCCTAGGGGGACAATACGAGTGGATTAGCATTTAAGCACACAGGAACTCTTCGAGGCTAGTCTTGGACGAGAATGTTGATGTGTCTTATGAAAAGTTCCATGGTCTAGGACCAGATGCATTGTTTTCGTCCCTTCTTTGACTTCATTCTTTTACTTTATATTTTTCTTTTTCTTAAGAAAAAACAAAGGTACGATTTGAAGTATGAACGCTTATATAAGGACTGTGTGATTGGTAAAACATCACTTGCATTTGTATTCGATCACGCCTTTAGTTTATTTAACACTATCTTCGACGCTTCAACTGTTGCTTATCAGTAATAGTAGAAGTATGAATAAAACACACACACACACACAAAAGTAGTGAATACAAATTTTTCAAGAAAGGGTCCATAGAAGCAACCCATTCATCAGAATAAATAATCGATTCTCCACGTAGGTGTAACTTCTTAGAAGTAATAGATTATGCAATTCTCCTTGTTTACACTCTAATGTTAGAATTTTTCATAATATTTACTATGAGTTATAATCAATTGTGATTTTTATTTTATTAAAAATAGACTAATATTATGATTTATTTGATGATGCTTATATTAATAATGTGATTAATTATTTATGAGCTTTAGACCTGATCTATGTAGGATATAGTGTAGGCTTAACCTTTAGGTCCATAATAGAAAGTGCCTAGTGTTAATAAATACGATAGCTAAGTCTCATTTTTCCGTTACGGAAACACATTTCATTGTTCTCTAAATTTACTCCCATTGAGAACCTAGGATTAAAAGAGCTTGATTAGGTAAAGAAAGATTTTGGCTTTTCACTCACGAAAGAATTCGCACGTCACGTAGATCGTTTACGATATAATTCACAATGTCTACAATAAGTAAGTGACTTTACCACCACTTTACAATTGATATTCTAAATTCATATAATTAAATTTAACTCAATTTATTCCTACATTTGGTATTAGAGCCTATCATTATATGATTTAGAATTCAATTATTAATTTTAATTAATCTGAATTTAGATTAAATTATGCAATATGTATTATTTTTTGTTGATCGAATCGGTGATGTTTAATTCTTAAAATTAAATCAACTTTAATTTCAATATTGAATTATTGCTTATTTCATTTATGTTGTTAATATATATTATTGTAATTTTATTTCTAAAATTGAATTATTGCTATGTCTAAATTAAGCTCAATGAATGAATTTAAATTCACGTAGAAGAATTTTTCAATGTCATTGTTATTGCATCGTAATATTCAATATTTTAATACCTTGAATTGAATAAATATTTTAATTGCTACATCGTAATACCTAATATTTCAACGCTTTTCAATTAAATATAAATATTTTATATGCTTATTTTAATTTTGCAGTAGGCATTGTTTTCAATTACGCTTGCTTGCAATTTCTAATTTCAATTTAATGCGTTGCTATGTGTTACTACTATTATTTTGTTATTTTCAATTTCAATTTAATGCATTACTACAGTATGATGTTTTGTGATGTTTTCAATCTAATATTTGTGTTATTATTATTGCGACTGATGCTATATTTTTATTCCGATATTTGCGCTATTGTTATCATGTTTGTTACAAATTCTTCTGTTGTCATCATGTTAATTTTTTAAATTTTGAATTCAAAATATTTTGATCATTTTTTTTATTGTTACAATTTTGGATTACATTTATTATTTTTGTTGTCATTTTAAATTACATGTATTATGTTGTTTTTCAAATTTTGAATTATGTGATATTCTTCCATTGGGTCGATTGTTATGTTTATATGAAATTTATGCATTTCAATTTTCAAATTTTGAATTCAGTATTTTACTATCATACTGTCACAATATGTGATACGTTCTTGTGATGCAACTTTTGAAGTATTATATTACATTATGTTGCTGTCATTCATGGTTGATTTGTCAATTTTATAACTTATCAAATTTTGTAATCGCTGTTTGTATTCATTTAAGGTCAATTTTGAATTACATGTCAATTCCGTTAATATATATAATATATATTATAATATTTGATTTTTTGGCTACTATCTTGTTGCATTTCTAAATCTATTGATCTTTGCCTCTAATATTATTTGAATATGCGTTAATAATTTCTTGTTTCTGTTTATATGTTTAACATACATTGATTATGGAGTTACGTAATTCAATGAGTATTTGTTTAACATAATTTAATTTTAAAATTACCTGATTCAATGTGAATGTCTTAATTTTGAATGAATCACATTATGTGTGCATCTCCCATAGCTAATTTTATTTATTTTTAATTATGTTCCGCAAATCAGCTCTCCATTGTTATTGGCGCTTCAATTTTAATTTTTAATAATTGAATTATTCTGTCGTTGCCTACGACAAATTACTACACGTTTTGTTTTTAATTGATTTGTGTGATCCAATATTTATGCAATATTGTTAGCAACTGCAACTGCTACTATTGAGCGCTTGCTTTGAATTATTTGATGCAATGCTATGTTGAGTTTATTGCCATATGTGGACATTTTGTTGCCACAAGGGTTAATAATCAAAATAAATTAAAATTAAAGTTGCAAAGAATTAAACATGATACTATGATCTTGTTTGACCAACCTGACATTATTAATTTATGTTATATGCTTTATGGTGAATTATATATTATTTTGTTTTGTATGAAATAATATTTAAGTTTGCATTAATTATCATTGTTATATATTATTATTTTGTAGTTACATATAATTGAGGAAAACATGTGATGTTACTGAATGATTGCATATTATTTCACTGTCATGCTTTCGAATTTTGAATTATAAATTGCAATATTCTTCTCCCTGCCATTTTAGTACATACTTTAGTAAGTATGTGAGTTTATGCTTCTCTTGTGGCATTTCATATTTTTATTGTGTTATGATAATGTGTTTCCGTTGCTACTATTATGTTGTGCGTTAATTTAGAATAATATTTAATTCTTAAATTTTATTGCTTCCGTTGCATTATAAATGCAATTGTAATAATTTGAATTAATATGTGTGTTTGTTTTTTACTACTGCCAATTCAAATTTTGAATTACATGTTCTATTGTAATTTTTTCAAATTTTGAGTTACTATTGCAATCTTTCAAATTTTGAAATTCAAATTTTATGGTCAAAGGAGTTGATATAGCTGTTGGAAGTGATATATTTGCCTAAAGGAGATAAAATTTGAACCTAGTATGTGCTCATTGAGTAACTCATTTTAAAATTTATGGATAAAGTTATTGAAGGTACATTGGTCTAAAGAATTTGTCTACCCAAAGGGGATAGGTTCTTAAATCTATTGTATGCTTATTGAGTAACTCATCTGAAGTTCTGATCTTGGTGATCGTGGTTTACACATTCTGCCCAAAGGAGAATGTATAATTGACCTCATTATAAGGACATATATGTTGAAGTTATGCATTACCATTATTACGTAATTTGATGTAAAATTAATTCATCATTATTATTGTTACAAGTTTTAGCTTCTTCTACTACAACTTAGATATTGTGTTCCTAAGAGCTCTTGTGCTCAATTTTCTTATTTGATTTTGTGCAACAAAATTATTGTTAATATTTATTTATAATTTAATAATATTTTTAATGTATAATCATAACTATTTAAGTATAAACATATTGAGAATGCAATTGATTATTAACGAATGACTAATAAGAATGTTGTTAGATGCGTATTTTCTTGTTGACTAAGTCATGATTTTAGACAAGAGATAATTGATTCCTGTATATGAGTTTTCATAGATTACTACAAGCTGTTACCACCAAAGTGAGACAATTTGTATTGGTTTATGGAGAATTTTATAATTTGAGAAATGCTTTTGATCCTTGCATGCGATTGCCTGCCCAAAGGGGGTGGTTGTATGTTTGGATTGAGAGTTGAAAATGGATGGAGTTATTGGATAATGCATTGAGTTAAGAGATTTGTCTGCTCGAAGGGGATAATTTTCTAAGTTCGGTGTGTGCTCATGGATTAACCCATATGAGGTATTGACCAGGATAAATGACTTTGGTTTGTGCATTATGCCCAAAGGGGAATGTACTATTTTACTGGCCTCACATTGATAGTTTATTACCCATCTTGAGCTATACCTTGTTTTATAATTTATTCTTATGCATTCTTGTTTTTATCCTGATAGTGAATTTTCTTATGAACAATTATTTTCTCACCTAATTGTATCATAGCAAATGAAAGCAATACCTGAAATTCTCTTTTGGAATTGTTGTTCTTGATTTAGTTTTGCGTGAGGGATAAGCCCATAATCAACTAGTAAAATACACATGAATAAAAAAAACTTTTAGTTTAGTGGGAGAAGTTTGATAGGTGAAGTTTGATTGTTATCAAGAGAACTAATTCTAGATATCTTTTGAGTGAGTAGGAGTAAATAATTAGATATAACATTGCTTTAATAGTTTACAATTTGGCTATATGTGAATACATTCTTTGGATTCATCATTGAATAATTGCTAAGAAAGTAATAACGTGCTTACAAGGGATCGAAGAGTGTGGGCTTATGTATGGGAGAGTTGACAATTTAGAGATTATAGGATATATATATATATATATATATATATATATATATATATATATATATATATAAATCTTTTTGAGTGTTGTAGTAACAATTGACTTTGGGATACATCTTTATGATGATTGGGGGATCCACATACAGGAAGAGTAAGAAATTGACTTTTATTGTATAAGCAAAATTTTTTTGTTTGTTATATTGTTGACCCTTATATTGTTTGGTTAAGAAACTTGATGAC